ATTAAAGCTACTCTAAACCCTATTACTATTATTAAATCTAAGCTATAAGAGTAACTACCCCCTAAATTTATTAAGTTCTATAATATATTCTTACTAAAGAAGGCTAAGTACCTACTATCTTACTAATTTAATAATTATAAGATTAAATTACTATCTAGAAAAATTCTACCTTTTAGAAGCTTATATAATATATCTTAAAATAAATTAAAAATTCTAAAGAAATAGATTAAAAAGAATTTAAAAAAAGATTTTATTTATTCTAGTTTCTTTCTTACTATATTCTTTATTCTATTTATAAAGAAACTTAAAGGAGGCTTATAATTTTATATAAATTATTAAGCCCTAAATATAATTATTATAAAAGATTATTATTTATTATTATTAATAAAAGAGATACTAAATAATCTAAAAAAAATAAGATATTTCTTAAAAATTAATATTATCTTTATTTTTAATAATTTATAGATTAAGAAAGAATAAGAATATTTTACTATTTTTTAAACTTAATTAGACTTATTTAAATTCTTAATAATATTATTTAGACTTACTAGAATCTTAATATTATTCTAAAGATTTATTAATAAAGCCTTATATAATTATCTAGATATCTTTTATATTATATATCTAGATAATATTCTAATTTATAGCTAAATTTATACTAAATATATTTATTATATTTAATAAATATTAGAATATTTATAAGTAATAAGACTTTATATTAAATTTAGTAAATATAAATTCTTTATATATAAGATAAAGTTCCTAAAACTAATTATAGATAAAGATAGCTTTTAAATAAATCTTAATAAAGTAAAAATAATTACTAAGTAAGAAATACTAATCTATCTAATTAATATTTAAGCCTTTATTAATTTTAAGAACTTTTATTACTAATTTATTTATAATTTTTTAAAAATTATTAGACTATTAGTTAACCTAATTAAGAAAAATATTAACTTTAACTAGATATTTACTTACTAAAAAATATTTAAATAATTAAAAATTATTTTTATAAATATTCTAATATTAAAATTTTTTAACTAGTTAAAAAATATAATTCTAGAAATTAATATCTCTAATTATATATTTATTAGAGTATTATTATAATATAATAATAAAAATATATTATATTTTATTATATTTTTTTCTAAGAAATATTTTATAATAAAATATAATTATAAGATTTATAATAAAAAATTATTAGTTATTATTTATTACTTTAAAGAATAATATTCTAAACTAAAAGAGATTTTATTACTTATAAAAGTTATTATAAACTACTAGAATCTAGAGTATTTTATATTAATTAAATTACTAAATTATTAACAAGTCTACTAGTCTAAATTTTTATTAAAATTTAACTTCTAAATATATTATTACCCCAGGAAGTTAAGTACTAAGCTTAATATACTAACTAGAAGATTAAAGAACTTACTTAAGAAAGAAAATAAATAACTCCTTTACTAGAGCTAGATTATTCTAAAATCTAAAAACCTACTACCTAAAACTACTACTAATCTAAAACTAAATATTAATAGCTAATATTAAATATACTTTACTAAATAATCTACTATTAATAAATTAATCTTCCTGCTATTAATATTATAATTACTATTTAATAAAGTTTATTTATAAGATAAGAAATTCTAGTTTATTCTAAATACTTTAAAAAATAATCTATTAAGATACCTTAATATTATACTAGCTAATTATAAATATATTAATTTATACTTAAGATATTAAAATTAACTTTATATATTTAATTATAATAAAATAAAAGTTAAAATATTAAAACTTTATTATAAAAATCTTATTACTAGATATTCTAGAAAAACTAAGATATATAAACTAATATTATATAAATACTTCTAGCTTAAGATTTATAAGTATATTAATTAATAAATTTAGAATTATTATTTTTACTATTAAATTACTTTTTTCTAAAAAATAAAGTAAGAAATATTAAGATTTTTACTAATTTCTAAATATACCTAGTAAAATATAAGTATAGATTTTATTATATATTTATTATTAAGTAATAATTATAATATTATTTTAATTATAATTAATTATTTAATAAAGATAAAGTACTTCCTTCCCTATACTAAGATAATTAATATTAAAGAAATAGTTAATCTATATCTTAAATATATTTAGAAACTTTATAGTATTCTTAAAATAATTATATTAGATTATAGAGTCTAATTTATTACTATTTTTTAAAAATATCTAATATTTTACCTAAAAATCTATAATCTATTATTTATTATTTATTATTTTAAGACTAATAATTAAACTAAATATATTAATACTATTTTAGAATAATATTTATAAATATATATATTATATTTATAAGATAATTAATTTAAATAATTATTAATAATTAAGTTTATTATTAACTTTATTTACTTTAAGTCTATAAGAGTATTACTATTTATAGCTAATTATAAATTTTATTTAATATTAAAGTTTAAATTAAGCTACTTTATTATCTATCTTATTAAAAAAGATATTAAGAAATTTACTAATATTATATATAAGATTTATAAATTTATTTATACTAAGATTTTATCTACTTAAGCTTATTATAAAGTATAAACTAATTATTAAAAATAATCTATATATTACTATACTATAAAATAAGAAGTCTAGCTAGATACCTATAATATTTAAATACTCTACCTATAGAAGAAATTAAATTAAAAAAACTTTAAATTATACTATATTAAAAAAATTATTAGTTTATATATTTATAAACTTAAATTACTTAAAAATATAAGAATTTATTTTATATTTAATATATTTTTATTTTACTCTATTATTAATAATTTTTTATTTAATTAATACTCTAATTTACTATTATTTATTAAAGTAAAAGAATTAAAAGAATAGAAAGTTAAAGAAATTCTTAATTTTTAATAAGTTTATTAAAACTATAATAAATCTAAATTATAATATATTATTAAATAAATTAAATATAATAAATTAATTAAAGAGTCTATTAAATATCTAGAGAATATTTATTAACTAGTAAATAATTATTATCTTTATTATTTTAAGAAACCCTAGCTAATTTCTTCCTAGTTTTAATAGAGCTTAATCCTAAGAAGGGAGATACTATTATAGTATAAAGCTATAGTATCTATCTAGTTAGATTCTACCTTAACTATTTACTTTTATTCCTATATTTAAACTATATTATCCTTAATTCTATTATAGCTCTTCAAGCTATATCCTGTCTATTACCTAATACTTACTATTCTACTATTCTGTCTGGTTAGCTCCTAGTTAATGAATATCTGAATCCGACTCTGCCCCCTGACATAAGATAAATAATCTAAATAATAAAATTATTAATAATATAACTTATAAATTTCTTAACTAAATCTATAATTAGGGATAGTTTAGGTTATTTTAATATATTAGTAATAATTATACCTAAGATAGGAGCTATATAATATTATAGAGAGTAAGTAAGTAATAAATATAGCTAATAATAGGGTATATATTCAGGCTATCTATATATAGGTATAATAGGTAAAGATTAGATTAGGATAAGGATATAGCTTAAAGAGCTATAATAAGATTAGGGGTAATATAGCTTAAATATAGGAGTAGAGGTAGATAGTCAGGGCAGAATCTAACCAGATAGGTACACAGCTACGCCATGACAATTATCTTAATATTATTTTAGAAAATAGCTAGACTAGTATTTTTTAAGCTTTTATTTATTTATTTTTTTTATAAAATTATATAATATTTTATAAAATATAAAAAAATCTTATTTAATAAATTTATTAATATATCTTATAAGTTCTTTTTTATATTAGTTATTAAGAGCTTGCTATTACTTATATTAGTAGTCTTTTAAATATACAATCCTATAGTAATATCTTAATAATATTAATTACTTAATATTAAATTATTTTGTAATTTTAGTATAGTTAATTAAAATATCTAGTTCTAAGGAATTAATTACTTCTAATACTACTTTAATTAGAGTTATATTAAATAAGATATATGAAGTTAAAAATTACTATCTAGAAAGTTAGTGAGGGGCAAAATATGCATAAGATAGGGCCATGCATCAGGTGATCACTAACTGTATAATATTAAGATATAAGTTTAGATAGTATAATTATATTAAGAGTTAATAGGTAGCTACAGGATCAAGCTATATACAGGCTTATAAACAAGACATAGCTTAAAGAGCTATATAAGATAGTGGTTAGAGACAGAATTATAACCAGTTATGGGTCACGTGGCAATGTGGTTAGGGCAGGCAGAATAACAATAGGCTGGCACTGTGACACCTAGCAATCAATTGCCTTAGCACTAGTGTACCTAGGCACGCCGTGACACTGGCCTATAACAAAATCTATTATCTAAAATATTAATCTAGTATTACTTATAATACTTTCTTTAAAAAGATTAAATATTCTCTACTAATGTATTCTAATTATAATATTTAGGGCTATACTAGAACTAGATATCCTATATATTTAAATAATTAGTTTTGATAAAATTATATGTGTTTTGGTGGTTAGAGATAGCTTTAAAGTTTTCAACCATTAGTAGAATTGGTGGGGTGTCTTAGTGACTGGTGAAATACATTAGGATAAATGAATGTTTATTGCCAAGTCAGTTAACTCTCTGGAAAGTATAACAAAGTTTTCTGGTGATTTAGCTCTTATCCATATTTTGTCCAGATAGACACGAACCAGCTAATGAAAGGAAAGAAACCAGTATTTCTCTGTTATTCATAAACATTGTATTCTGATGGCTAGGTGCAGGCTAGGTACTATTCCGTAATGTTTTAGGGAATGGTGTACCTTGATGCCAAACCCTTAAAATATCATACTTCTCCGGCCAAAAATCAATCGTTTAATGCGTTGAAGAGCACCATTCAACTGCGATAGGGGGTTACTCCACCACCTCTGCATTGCATTGGCTGCCTGCCTCGATGATGCCGTGTCTAGAATTGCTGCGTGCCTCGATGATGCCGTGTCTAGAATTGCTGCGTGCCTCGATGATGCCGTGTCTGGAATTGCTGCGTGCCTCGATGATGCCGTGTCTGGAATTGCTGCGTGCCTCAATGATGCCGTGTCTGGAATTGCTGCGTGCCTCGATGATGCCGTGTCTAGAATTGCTGCGTGCCTCGATGATGCCGTGTCTGGAATTGCTGCGTGCCTCGATGATGCCGTGTCTGGAATTGCTGCGTGCCTCAATGATGCCGTGTCTGGAATTGCTGCGTGCCTCGATGATGCCGTGTCTAGAATTGCTGCGTGCCTCGATGATGCCGTGTCTAGAATTGCTGCGTGCCTCGATGATGCCGTGTCTAGAATTGCTGCGTGCCTCGATGATGCCATTGCTGGGTTGCTCCACAACCTCTACATTGCATTGGCTGTCTGCCCCGATGATACCGTATCTGGATTTGCTGCGTGCCTCGATGATGCCATTGCTGCCCTGCTCAGGGAGCAATGGCAGTGCACCGACAAGACCACAAAATAAAATAAAATAGTATTTCATGATTGTAGATAATGGTGGACAGAATTTAATAAAATAGGAACTTGTTGACACAGCAAGAGTGAATTATTGAAAGCTATTCTATTCAGGACAGGTACAGGTTTATATACCCTTCAAGCTTGAGATAATAGTATTAGAGTTTCCAAATATTAATTATAAAGAATTTTTCAATGCATTATATGGTTCTATCATAGAAGTGAAACACTTCTAATCAGATATTCCTATTTCAAGACAATTCCCATATAGTTGAAACCAGAAATACTTAAGTCCTTGGGACCAGGTAGATTTGGCTGACCTATCAAACTATACAAATAATAAACTGAGTTACTTGTGCTTGGGAGTATATCCCTACCTATATGTTAGCTGGAGACTATAATTATGATATAAAGCTATATCTCATACTAGCTTCAACTTTATCTGGGACAGATGATCTAGAGATCTGCATTGGAACCATATCTCGTATTCGGTTCCTATGTTTTTTTGACTGGAGTTACATGATCTAGAATCTGTATTAGAACCATATCTCGTATTCGGTTTCAGTATTTCTTTGGCTGGAGATAGATAGGAATGTTATTTTAGATCTACAGATATATTTTAAAAGACTAAAACTAGATTTTATTATATTATTTTATAGAGTTTTTATAATTTAGTCTAGATAAAAATATTCTTTATAGAAAAGAAATACTTGAAATATTACTAGAGTAAGCCTACTATTAATTTTCTAGTTTTAACAAGCTTGTATGTATTAGACTAGATTGTAGATACTTGATAGAATATAGGTAAAGTAGCTAAAGTTATATTACATTATTGTAATAGATTAATTTTAGTTGAAATCACTGCTTGAACATACTAGATAGCAGCCATTAACCCTAATCATTTGGGTTATTTTCTACAGCTGTATAGACTATAGAGGGATTTTGCACCCAGCTTCCCATCACCTGAAGGAAGACCTGAAAGGGCATGGTTAAACTTTATTAGTTAACCACTAGTAAAAATAAACATCCACTTTTTGTAAAACACTTATAAATTATAATAATGAATAATCAGGTAAATCCTGTAATATCATGCCTACCCATACCACGCGATTTTTTTTGGCCATGCCTACTAATATTATGGGGTTTAAATCAGGCGTGGGGTTGATAACCACCTTAGTAGGGTTGGCGAGGACATGGGAATAGCTTCAAGATAGCCATATTAGGGAGTTATTGATCCTGGAGGTGGTTTAGGTTGTAGAGGGCTAAAAACTTGTCTTGAAATTAGTAGTAGGGAGATATCTTAATAGTGAAGTTATATATTTGTAATTATATATAAATTGGCTGAGAGAGCTAACGTTAGGTTTAGGATATTATATAACTAATACTAAACCTCTTTCACTACAAATTTAACTTGGTATTCCCGATTCAGTCTTCCTTCAAAGTGAAGAAATTTCTTCCACCTAAAGGAAGTAATGATTCCAATATAGAATATGAAGCCGGAGGCACTTCCTAATTAGGATGTGAGATCTTGGCAAAGTGGGGCGATCTAACCCGATTCATGCTTCCTTCAGGTTGTTGGAAGCTTGCAAAATCCCTCTATTATGGGCCTATCCCATAATAAAAATATAATTGAAGGTTAGATAACTTGAAATCTAAATTAAAAATTTTGATTTCAATCTCTTTAATATATATAATACTTTCTATATTAATAAATATTAATCTTCTTGTCACGGCGTGCACTAGGTGCACTGGTGCCAAGGCAATTGACGACTATGTATATTGTATATAAGGTGGGATTCGGCAGATCAGACTATCAGGTCTGATCATAGTGTTCTTTTGGTCCAATGGTTTAGACATGTTGCCTGAATCACATACTCTTACACTTCTTCTATAAATACTTATATTTTTTAGATTAATAATATCAAATTATATTTAAAGTAATTAAATATAGACTTATGTGAAACTTTATTAATTAGTAAAAAAGGGGTCTAGACTACTAAATATAGTATAATATTTTGTCAATTATGTATTAGAGATACTTATATGGATTTTCTTTTTTTAGTTGTCTCCTAATAGCTTACTACAGTTGAATATGCACTATAGAGTAATCTATTTATTTAATAGGTTTCTTAATGTCTAATATTGTGAAATATAACTATAATTCCATTATTTCTAAGACCCTGCTAGTCCTAATCTAGTTTTTCTTCCCATAGGGTATGGGAAAAAAAGATGGGAAATATCCAAGTTATTAATAGAGAGTTAGGCAAGGTTATATTAGAATTCAAAAGTATATACTAGACATTAATATTTCCTTTCTATTCAGTCTGATTGTTGTTTTAGATATACAATAATATAATTTTAAACTAACTTGTACATTCTTTTAATATTCCTAAGAGGTTCTTAGCATAATTAATCTATAGTATTAAATAATATCAACTTACTCGATAAATTGTAACAGTTACATATTTGCAGGTTTGTTCTTATTAGTTAATTAAATTCTGATTCTACTATCAGGCCAGCAGGGTTATACATATCAAATTTGGTACTCTACACTACCAGCCCCATATGGAACCAAAAACTCCCTTGTGTCAGTGGCTACCCAGTCTTGCCAAGGTATAAAGCAATCCTCTATTGCATTTCATAGTATCATCACCTAATTTTTATAATACTCGAGTCCCAGCCATCTTACACACATCCATCTCCGGTTTTAATCGTTCTTTGATGGGTAGTCCTCCTACCTCCCCAGAATCACTAACGATTCATCCTTCATAATGATGGCTCGAATTATCCATCGTGTTACCTACATTTTAGCTACGATTTTTACAATATTTATATTTCGTTCAGTTATTCAAGCTCTAGACTATCAACCAGAAGGGGTTTCTATACATCACCCTTATCACCTGGAGCCTGAGTGGGAGTGGGCACGAAATGTTAGCATTGTATACACCTGGGTGGTAAGTAGTCAGCTACCACCTTGGCTTCTGCTTGTTCATCATCGTCATCATCATCATCATCATTAACAACCCCTCCTGACTGGAATAGAATGGATCGGATCCAAATTTCAGGTCACAGCGTAAGCGATACGGTGGAATTATAGGCGGATCGCTAGACAGGGATAATAACGAGCTTCTCTATTCCCTACGATCCCTCAACGAGTTCCTTCCATGGCACACTGGAATGGTATATATTGTGACTCCTAATCAGGCACCATACTGGTTGAACCAGTCCCATCCAAGGTAACCCTGGTTTTTGCGCTTACGTTTATGGGAAGCTGAGCGGAAGCTTTTAGGGTTCAGATTATCAATCAAAACGACTTGATCCCGCCGGAAGTCCATCCGACGTTCAATACAAATACCATTGAGCAGTTCCTCCACTACATCCCGGGGCTAAGTGAACTGTTCATACACTTCAACGACGACTACTTCTTGCATGCAAGCTGTCATCCATCGGACTTTTTTACAGGGACCAAGGGAGTGAAGATATTTCTCACAGATACTGAAGTCACCAAAAATCGTAGCAAATTGGTAACGCAGATGAACCGGGATCGAAATCCTTGGGACAAAAGTTTACTTAGAACATTTATTCTCCTGCTTGATACATACCGATTACACAATATGCCATTAAGCAACACACACCATGCTCCCTATGTTTACTCTAAACAAGTCTTTCATGAGATGCATTCAGTGTGGTTTGATGAACTTCATGAGGGATCGTGGAATAGGTTCAGAAGCGGTAATGATATTCTGATCCCAGTAAGCAGACCCAACGTTGGTCAAAATATGTTAGAAGCTTACAAGGTCCAGATTGCACATTATGGCTTTACCATTCAACAGGGATGGAGCTGCTGCAAACTTGCAAATGAGATCGTGACGGGCAGCGATGGCACCATCAAGTATGTTGAGTTTACATCAAATACGACAGAAAATGCAATCAAGATTGCAACCTTGAGGCAGAACAGGAATCTCAAAATGTTCAATATAAACGACGACATGGATATAGGTGACTCTGCATCAGATGCGAGAGTGCAGCTCAATGACTTCTTGGTAAGCTGGGCTAGATCAGGCAGAGAAAATGGACTTTCAATAACCAAAGAAAACAGGACCAAGAGTACGGGCATCTTATTGGGACGTTTGAAGTGAGAACCTGAGTGAGTCTTTCATAGGCACATCGCATCATACAATATACGGGGCAATGGGCCCAGCTATTAGCCGAAACCATCGAAAGAAATCGAATGCCTAGAAAATTGGCAAACGAGGGGCATTTCTAAAATGTACTATCATGTAACAACACGCATCCTGCATTACTGAGCTATTCCACAGTACAAATGACCAACTAATGAAATCTAGAGACTATAATCCTATTATAGACGCCTATGGCCTAGGTTTGCGAATGTAGGGTTACCTTGTATCTTAAGATAGTCACGGGGATTTCTCCTCAAAAACATCAACAACAGACAGAGAAGAGCGCAAGTCCTTCTTCTGCAGCTTTTTATTACCGTTGTAGAAGATTTCCGGGTGAAGCGCCAGAGCACGCCATTGTTAGTTGCGATGGTTCATCTAGTCGTGACAATAACTTGGACAATTATTTGCGGTCTGCCTGTGCCTCTGCTTAGCGCTTGACGATCGCAGACTTTCATTAGTGATTGCAGCGCCAATTATCCGTAACTAACGGATTTAACTCCAAGTGCGCTTTAACCGGGGGTCTGTTTCGTACTTTTGGGGTAGAGTATGAACGAGTCTTTTGCCCTGGTTTCATTTCTCGGCAGCGGGCCGGGTGCTAAAATGAGTAAGAATTAAGGGAGCTTCAAAAGCCCGCAGTCAACGTCCTCCAGGCCCTAATGGGGTTGTTGATTTGTTGTCATTTCCATAATGCATGTCTGTTGGACCAAATTTCTAGTCTCATAATAACTTTGGAAGTATGTTGTTCATCATAACTCTCATGGACACGCCGGTGACGACTCCAATCATGGCGTCTGAGCTCCCTCTCCAATTCCCATTAAACCCCCTGCTAATCCATTCATGCGACGACCCAAAATATCCTCTTCACTGGCTAGGCTACACATACTGTGTTCTCTCTGACGCATACGAATCGGGCTCGCCGGATCTGAAGCATATTCTGTCATCGAGAAGATGTTGATGTTGGTCGGAGCAAGCGGTCGCCGTTTGCCTAACCCCCTGGACCGAGTTGCGCGGCCCCGCGAGATACTTCTATCCCGATCATTCAACGCTGCCTCTTCGCCATCCTGGTTAGAGTTACGGAGCCTAGTCTCCAGGGCCGATCCGTTCTGCAGCTGTTGGCAGCTTGGAGCGCTAGCGCTCCGCACCGTAGCATCCAACGGGGTCATCCTGCCGATGCTCATCTCTAATGGCTTGTCTTCATCGGCGGAGGACTCCCCCGTTAAGCTACGCTTGTGATTGCGAAGAGAATTTCGTCCAGAATCGACCTTAGAGCCTTTGGGAAGAGCGCCAGTCCCGTAAATAGAAAGGAGGGCAGATGGTGATTTTCTGACTTCAGCTATTTCGAACAAGGTTTGAATCCAAGTAGCACATCGGTTGATATGTTTCCAACTATCCGGGAAAAAACCCGCCATTTGCATGAATCCATGCGAAACTCCTGGAAGGAGGGATACCTCAACATGGTCTTTCTCGTTGAATCTCCGATGAGACTTTTCTAGGCCTAATTCCTGCCTCTCGTGGAATTGGCGGAGCTTGGCCTGTCGAAGCCTTCCAGCAAATATCACAGTGTCATCAACCAGCGGGTCTCGTTCTCCTGTAATAATGTATGTCTTGGGGAACTGCGCAAGAAGAGCTTCAGGGGCGAGAACTGGCGACAAAAGATAATCGGTGTTAAAATCGGGGCGGTTATGCGGTCCAATGTAGAGAATGATCATTGCTCGCATCAGTTCAGGTGATAATATCCTGTCATTCACGTATGAGATCATCGATGACACAGCCAACCGAGTGTGGATTTTCTTTGGCTGACTGCTAGTGAGATGAGCAGTTTGAGATACCAGGCTTTCCTGTTTGTCGTCTTCGAGGACGAGCCCTGGTGCCTCTTCTGCCCCATCCCCTGCCTCTAAGTCGGGTTCAGATGAGGAATCATGTCGAAGGTCATCGAGAGATGTCCCAGGAGTGGTGAATGGCGTCAACCTCTGATAGTCCATGTCCTTTCTTCGAATGACGTTCCGATTCGTTTGACGTGTGCTCTTTTCCTGGATTAGGGACATTTGTTCTTCAGACATCCAACTTTCTATCTTCATGTTCAGCGCCGGATAAGCCAAAACTAGTCCGTCCGGCCGTGGGAGAGCATTCCGACCCTGCCCCAGAGATGCACCGGCACTACCCGACTGAAGAGCCATCAAGGCTGTACCGACAGCAAGGTTAGCACCAGCGCTGTCGCCTGTAAGAATGACACGAGGTGGCGTGAGCCCACTCAGCCCTAAGCAGCGACCGCGTGAGGTGACAATTGAATGATAGACATCATAGCATTCATTGAGTGCATAAGGGTACGGATATTCTGGAGCCTTCTTATAGTTTAGGCTTAAAATCGGAACCTTAGTCTTTGCAGCCCAAGCAAGCAGTCGATCTTCGGAATGTCGGGGAGTCATAGAAACAAATCCGCCTCCGGGAATATCGAGGATAATACAAGTCTGATCCCGTAACGCACTCAAGGGGCCATCAAAATACAGCCACGCATTAGTGGGCTCGTGGTAGATGGACTGTCGGGGGCGAGGAATCCTGATAGCACGCGGAGGATACCGAGTAAATCGTGGACGCACCAGACTCGAAAGAGCCCAAAGATACGGGGTTGTTCCTTTGTTCCACGAAACCCGCAAGTGTTCAACTGTTAAAGTTGACCTCACACGACGAACCTTTTCATCCGCCCGCTCAGCAGCAAAAAGATAATACACAGTACAGCCCAAGGACGCGACATCCCGCAGCCATTTAGGCTTGATCTTCATGGCCGTCCAAAAGCCGGCATCCAGCGCTGTCGTGATCCATGTTGCCCGAAAAAAGGATCGAGAATAGAGGTTCGCTAGAGGTTCTGGACACTCGAGTCCCACGATCTTGGCGAAGTTACGGCAGAAATAAAGCCATAAAACTACAGAAACAGTGGTTTGCCACACACTCAGTTTCTGTGAAAGACGGGACGAGAGACCTCGAATAACGGGAGGACCGTGTTTATTTCCCCTGCAGTATATAATTTAGTGAGACCCAGGTTGACAACCTCCGTGAGACGTTGGAGCGACATACCTGAAAAGGTAAAATGACCAGAATAGAAACACAGCAAGAACCTGGACCTTACGGAACTTGGTCGATGGTCTCCCAAGAACGTGGTCTAGACGGAAATTAGCAAGACGAATGAATAATTGAGAGGACAGCAGCGTACCTATCATTTCCACGAGCCAATAAAGAAGCGATCAAATCTACGAGGATGTAACAATGATGCCCTCAGAGGCAACTTCGGAGAGTATAAAAATCTCCGCCAAACGATAGAAGGGAAAGCAACATAAAAGATATCAACAGGTAATAAAAATATAGACAACGAGGTATCCAGTGTACACAAAAGTAATAGGGGGAAAAAAACGAAGTGATAGACTGACCACATACAAGAGAATGTCAATCAATCCATCACAGACAGTACAGAAAAAGAGCACAGTCACAACGTGTCGGATATAGCTCCTCCCCACGTGAATCAGGGTACTTAACACGGAGAATGGAGGCAAGGACAGACCAGAGACAAGTAATAGAAATTACAAGAGACAATGGAGATGAAGAAGGACCAGCTTCTGTCCCATTATCCTCGATCGTCATCCATGGATGGATGATGCATCATCGCAGGAACGGAGGCATGTGAAAGTCCCCACCAAAGTATCGAGTCAGCCACTGAATTTGGTGGAGGAAGAATCCAGTGAGAAAGAGACGCGCTGCTTACAGTATCTAAAAGCGCGAGCCAGAGCTAAAAAAAGAATCTCTCCTTGAAGGAATTAAAGATGTCAGCAACAATCGGGAGCCTTGGGCTGGGGCGCTGCGCGATCACATGCAAGTCCACATTTCGACAGCGGAGGTCCTGTGACGCGACACTCCATCAGCTGTACCAGAAGGAAAATAATGGTAAATTTATTCGAATGGATTCGGTTTGTATTTCCTTATTATATCCATACCACTGTATTTCATGTTCGTCGGCAAAAATCTCGTCCATGAGAAACCTGCCAGTCGCAGAGCCACACTTCAAACATCATTCCCAGAAATCCTGCGATACAAATCCCTCCCGAATCACTGGCAGTCGTTGCCCCTAGGGAAAACTCGCGGTTTTCTGGAGAAACACGATCCCCAATTTCCGCAAACGTATTCACATACACAAGGCCGCCTAAAAGCCCCTCCCAGAAAATCACCAGGAAAACAAGGTACACACTAGGAATGAAGTCAAACAATGAATGTAGTGTCAATACTACCAAGTTGATGATCTGGAGAAACGAGGGAAGGTAGAGGTTATGCACTCGGAAAAAGGGGGTTGAGGAACGGGAGATAAAGACACCAATCTGATAAATTGCATTATAGGCCGGGTAGAAGGCGCGGAAATGAGTGAATGGCGAAGCCTCAAGTGGGAACAGTAATGTCGGAGACACGCCCTGGTTGATAGTGTATTCTGCAATGTACACTAGCAAAAGCGGCAACATACTGAAACGAGTGAGCAAATTCCAACTCAGCGCGAGATTAAGCCAAAAAAAAAAAAAAAAAAAAAAAAAAACTTACAAAGGGAAGAACAATCCTTTGACTTGTTTCAAATTCGCCGTTATGCTTTGCAGTCCCAACCCTGTTCGTGGCGGATTTACCTTGAGACTTTGAGCCGAATGGAAAGAAGAATCGAGCAACCTGTCATTCTCATCATCACCATTGTCACCGGATGTACCTTCGTTCACATTCCGCTGTTCCTCCTCAAAATCGTGATATTGCGCCTGGATCGGCGATCTAGGCAGGATTATGAAAAAGCTCACAGCCAAGACAGCGGGTAGACAAGCGGACGACAAGAGAGTTGCCCTCACGCCAAATCCGAGGGATGTGGTTGCCAGCGCATATGCTCCAGCACCTACTAGGCCAGCAGCTCCTGTTCCACTTCCCCAAGCTGCAAGGCTAAAGGGACCGTAGTAGTGTGTGAGCGAGACAAAACTCATTTCTCCAATACCACTTGACAAGCTAGCGAGAACAATCCCCGCGAGTTTAAATGAAAGCGTACTGCCATCTGTGTATTCTGGGCAAAGAGCGACCACAATCATACCCAGTACAGAAAGCAACACACATATTACAATACGCATGGAATAGGGGACGGCATGGATAAAGTAGGGTGCGACCAGTTTTGTCCCGAAGGATGGAAGCACGTCGGCGAGTAGGACGACGCCCTTTGGGACATTGGGACCGACCAAGTCCAGGGCTGCGGACAGAATAATGACATACAGTACATTGTTGATTAAACCTAGTGCCCATTTTCTTGTTAGAGACCGCGTGCTCTAAGGTAGTGTAACATAACAAAGGCCCTACCAAACAGCCAGAATGCGACGCAGACCTTAGGGTCAGCACCATGGAACACAGCAGCAATCCGTGCACGAAATCGGGCCCATGACAATGACGGGACTCCGGGGAGAGGCCACATTGATATTTCCTCTTCTAGGGGCAACAGAAGGGATGGGCTAGTAGGCTATTGCTGGTCGAATGGAGACAAGGAGCTATATACGAGAGAGGCGCTTAGATATGAAGGCAGGAATGTAGGCATGTCATCGAAGCTAGTGAAATAACATGGTAGTGACCCGAGAAAATAAGTAATTGATCGAGAGTTACATAAAGATGTCGCGTGCCGTCACTTGGCGGTGAGTCTTTTCCTCCAAGGCTATCTATGGAGTCGCTGAAGTATACCTACGTAGTCTCTCAAGCACCTAATTGGTCTCTATCGAGGAGAACATTGAGTATCTATCTATCTTACTAGTAGTTGACTCAGGGATACGTTCTACCTATTCTGAAACACAATGAGAAGTAGATGATGGACCTTTATTAGAACCACCCTGTAGAGTTTCAGTACCTACGCTCAAGTTTTTACCTACTAAGAGTTGAAACATTCTCCAGTAAAAAGTGTCTTAGCAAAGTTGATGTATGTGACCTTTAGGTAAGATATCGTATACCATATAGTGTATGGATGTAAATAATCCTTTACCCATATCACAGTTCTTCAGTGAATATGATCGTTCATTACAGCATCCTGCGGAAGGAGCAGCAAGCAGTGACTCAATATCATTACCTAGATAATATAACAAAATGGTTTGGCCCTCCAGCATTCGAAACGCCATAAGTTGTTGCCTCCTACAAATACTTAACATGACCCTTGTAGTCGTGCAAGTGTCGCTTTCCCTGCCCTACTTTCATTGGATCGGCCAAGCTCACCACTAATCCAGGAGCCGATTTTTGACATCTCTTCGAGGTTAATACCGGTATGCATCCCTAGGCTGTGGATGGTGTGAACAATATCTTCAGTTGCCACATTTCCCGTTGCGCCCTTGGAGTATGGGCAGCCACCAAGCCCACCAACGCTGCTGTCGAAAATCCGGATCCCATGTTCCAATCCCACAATCGTATTTACCAGAGCTTGGCCATATGTGTCATGGAAGTGGAGTGCTAGATCCGTATTTGCGATCCCCGCCGCGTTCAAAGCTTGCAGGAGCTCCAGAGTGCGCGGCGCAGTTCCCATGCCGGTTGTGTCTGCCACGGACACTTCATCGGCACCCATTTCCAGTAAAGTAGCCGTAATCTCCGCTACTTTGGATGGTGAAACATCAGGCCCTTCATATGGACAGCCCAGGGCAACAGAAACATATCCTCGAACCCGAATATCCTTGGTCTTAGCCAACGCGACAATAGGGCGAATGCGATCCAACGATTCCTGTACAGTACAGTTGGTATTAGCCTTGGAGAAGGCCTCAGTAGCGGCAGCGAAGAGAGAAATCTCTGTGGTTGTTGCAGGCTTTAATGAAGACTCGGTTGTCGCCGTGGGAACATCGGCAGAATCCATGACCTTGATCAGATTCTCCAGACCCCTCACGTTGGGAACAAGATAGTTGTAAGCAATAGTATCATGAGACTGCGGCGGGTTTTGTAAGAGCTCTTCACATATCTCTGCAGTACTAGCCATCTATCCAACAACCAGCCGTCAGCACATCCAAGATCGCCGGCACTGTGGGTAGAGGCGGGAGGAAATGCGAGCATTACCTGAGGAACCCATTTTGCAGGCACAAATGAACCGGCCTCAATTGTCGTCACACCCGTTTTAGCGAGCCTCTGAATGAGCTCGAGCTTTGTTTCGAGCGGTATAGACTTCTTCTCGTTCTGAAGTCCATCTCGTGGTCCAACTTCGACGATGCGGACGTGGTCCGAAGTTAACCGCGCCTCTGTCGCAAAGCGGCGTTTGCAAGGAACTGCTCTCAGAACAGAAAAGAGACCCAATCTAGGTCTAAAGTTAATCATGATGGTAATTTATGAAACAAATCTCAAGAAAGGATAAGAAAACCACGCCAGAAATCTCAGCACATGAGAATGCCAGGGGAGGCAAGAAATCAGACCATGAAGCCCGCATTGTCCGGCGGTAGAAATGCGGAGAAGCCCAGATTTACAGGCAGCGACCCCACCTGACCTTTTTTGCCTTAGTCAGACACGACGAGGGGAAGAAAGAAAAAAAAGGAATTTATCCCACCAAGACCGAAGTACATATATCCACCGCCCACTTTGGAGTCGTAATCAACGACATTGTCAATAATTCAGAGACAAGAATGGATGCTCCGTCTGAGAATTCACCGGTGAACACCCCTCTACGGCAACCTAAGAAAAGATTCGTCGGTAGACGCACTGCAGATGCCCAGGCCCAAGCGTCACCAAGCGTACAGGATGTCGAGTCCACAAGCATTCAGAAAGGTAAGTCGAGGAACTACGAACAACGAGCACACGGACAAAAAGAAAACACTAACACCTCAAACTCCATCTAGCAGCCTCAAGAAGAACCCCCAGAACTCTAAACCAAGTGCCTCCTGAGATCCTCGAAGATCCCGATATCCAAGCCGCGATCGATCTCCTCCCTAGGAACTATTCCTTCGAGATCCCCAAGACCATCCACCGAATACGCACCTCTGGAGCCAAGAGAATCGCGCTGCAATTCCCGGAAGGCTTGCTGCTCTTCGCTACCACTATCTCCGATATCCTCACCCAGTTCTGCCCCGGAACCGAAACCCTGATCATGGGGGACGTCACGTACGGGGCCTGCTGTATTGACGACTATACTGCTCGCGCTCTGGGCTGCGACCTCCTGGTCCACTACGCCCACAGCTGCCTCATCCCTGTGGACGTCACCCAGATCAAAACCCTCTACATCTTCGTGGACATCAGCATCGACACGTCACACCTGATCGCCACCCTTGAGCGCAACTTCCAAGCCGGCAAAACAATCGCTACCGTCGGCACAATCCAGTTCAACGCCACTCTCCACGGTCTCAAACCCGTCCTTGAACGCGCAGGCTTCAAGGTCATCATCCCTCAGATCACCCCGCTATCAAAGGGCGAAATCCTAGGCTGTACCTCCCCGCAACTCGCAGCCGACGAAATCGACATCCTCCTCTACCTCGGCGACGGCCGCTTCCACCTCGAATCAGCCATGATCCATAACCCCAGCATCCCGGCCTACCGGTACGACCCTTATTCGCGCACACTCTCCCGGGAAACCTACTCGCACGACGAAATGCACACCCTCCGCCGCGACGCAATCAACAACGCCAAATCCGCCAAGAAATGGGGCATCATTCTCGGCTCCCTCGGTCGACAGGGAAACCCAAATACCATGGCTATGATTGAGAATCATCTCCGGGAACGCGGGATCCCAATCGTCAACCTTCTCCTGAGCGAGATTTTCCCGGGCAAACTAGCGTCCATGTCTGACGTGGAGTGCTGGGTGCAGATAGCCTGTCCCCGGTTGAGTATTGATTGGGGCTACGCATTTCCACGGCCACTTTTGACGCCTTACGAGGCGCTTATTGCATTGGGAGTTAGAGAGAGTTGGGAGACCACGCATAACGGCGTCTACCCGATGGACTTTTACGCGAAGGATGGCCTGGGGAGGACCAAGCCAGTTCAGGCGGTTTCGGGAACTGCGTGAGTCTTGAGGAATCCATGCCCGCCCGCCCCCATCTCCCTTCGCCTTCTAGAAAGGTTAAGGGAAGAGGGTGAACAGAAAAGTACAGTGTACTTACAGATACGAAGTATATGACCCCAAGAACAGACCAAAAATAGACTTGGAAAATAATTCTTGGAAAAAGCTTTTCCTTCATTTTAATATTACATAGCAGTATTCTTTCATTCATCACAGCAGTGAGCATCTCATTTCATCATCATCCCTTAAAGTCATCGGCACTGTCCGTGTTAGGATCGCTGGCACTACCTCTTCGAAGAGATAGAATGCTCTTGGTGGCCAGCTCGTCTGCGGTGCGTTCAGCAGCCCGCCACCGAGTGACCGCCTGCTCCACGTCCTCGAACATTTCCAGTGTGTCTTTGATGATTCCTCCCTCCTCGGGCTCAGGAGCATAGGATCGTCTAGATTCCGTGTCTCCAATCATCGGGAAGGCGGGACCAAACCCACGTTGAGGAACAGGATTGAACATGACCGCATTAGCGAACATGCGGATCAATTCCTTCTCCAGCTGCGCGGAATTGACAATTGCTCTGGGCGGAATGACATCCTCCGTTTTCTGCAACATCATGACAGCGTTCTTCGAAGGTGTACCTACGTTGGGGGCCGGGGATTCGCCATCCGCAACAGGTGTGTTTGCGGCCTCTGTCGCGGCAGTCAAAGCCTTGCTGCCCTGATGGATGGAGGACTTGATGGATTTTAGGTCCTGCGGTCGGTAGATGAGATCTCGATACCCAGGCGCATCGCGTTCTGTCAGTGGCTTCGTGAAGATAGATGCGTGCTTGTGAGTCGTTACATCATTCATTATTGGAGCACCAGTTCTTGGGAAGTTACGCGTGCACAATACATACGGCGTGGATTGATTCGGATCGACGCGGCCCATCTGGCTGGGCTCCGCTTGGGGCGGTTCCGGCTCTGGGGCCTCACTAACAGCGCGTTTGCGTTTTGGTCGCCCTCGGCCGGGTCGTTCTTCCCAAGTTGGGGCAGCTTTTCGTCCTGCAGAAGTCCGTTCGGGTTCGGCATCTACAATTCCAGCTGGAGTTCCGGGCATTTCATGCTTAATATTTCCCGACTCAGTGGCAGATTCTTCTTCTCGAGATACGACTGACCGTCCTCGACTCCTTGACGAAGTGGTACTTCTATCGCGTTTCTTTCCAGTTTGTCCCGTCGCCTTCTCTCCTTTCTTCTTCGATTCGCCTTTCTGATCGATATCTGCGGCCTTTTCTCTACCCCGTCCTAGGCCCTTTCCTTCATTCCGTCGCTTTCGCCGGCGTGGTCCGGGCTCTTCCGGGGTGCCCTCGCGCGATCCGAACGGCGATGAAGCTCTCTCGCTAATAGGACTTACATCTTCCGGTCGAGGTCGATCGGGCGATCCAGGGGAATGTAGCAAGGTCAGACGCGGGGTTTGTTTCCAAGGGGTGAGAGAACCAGGTGTCTCAATAGATAGGCGCGGCGGCCGTGAGACCCCTTGCCCTGTGACTGGAGGGCCCTGAGGCACACCTATGGGTGTTTGATACCCAGAAACAGGACCAAGAGGCGTTGAAACCGGAAACGCCGAGGGTGTTGGTTGCGGTGTAGACGGAACCGCCACAAGTTGAGCGCCTTGTGGAGCCTTATTCTCGGGCTTCAGAACCTGCTGAGGAAACGTGGATTGAGCAGACCGAGCATGACTTCCTAGTTGCGGAACTAGAAACGAGGGAGGGGCTTGAGGTGTTTGAGGCTCGTTCAACGACCATTGCTGAAAACTTGCCTGTGGAGGGAGACGCTGGGCTGTCGGTGGAGGTGCAGCATTGGCCTTCTTTGCTACGGTCTTCGCACTCGGAGAAGCTTTCGGCGCGGTGGCAGAGGTAACCGGTATATTGATAGGCTGTTGACTCTGTAAGGGTGTGCCTACTGAGGGAGGAGCTAGGCTGGGACCAAGGGCCGGCGCAGTAGGTGGCAGTTTCTGGGACTGGATAGGCGGGACACCAATAGCTCCTTGTTGCACCGGGGCGTTTCGAGGAGCTATTTTTGGTTGCTGAGGTGTTGAAATCGCGTTCCCATTGGCTGGCGTTGCTGGTTGAGTTGGTTGAGGACGAAGTGCTGGTTGTGCTTGAAGCGGCGATAGCGGTATTGGCTGTGGTTTCTGCTGCAGTATTTGTGGTTGGGGTTGGGGCTGTAACATCTTGGTAGGGGCCTTTTGCGGTTGTGTAGGTTGTTGCTGTTGCTGTTGAACAGGCTGTGTTGGTAGCTGTTTGGTATTATTCAAATCCATGCCCTGGGGTTTCAACTGAGGTTGTATTGCCGCAGAACTCGACACAGGTTGAACAGGGACCTGTTTAGGAGGCTGCCGCTCCACCTGGTTCTCATTCGTGTCCAAATCCATCGGTTCCGGTACAGGCTCACGCTTAGCAGGGTAAACCGAGACCGGTGTAGGCGTTGGCTCTACAGTTTTCACTGCAGAACCTTCGCGGTCCTCCTTCTGTAATCGCTCGATCTCGTCTCTGATTTCCTTAAATCGCTTCTCTTCGTTTCTAATCTCCTTCGTAACCAACTCCTTGTATCTGGCATATAAATGCCCGACCAACCCCGGAACGAACCCAGTATTATTCAAAGTCTTCTCCGACAACCCTTCAGGTCGAGGGCTCGAGATCTTGCGCTTCTTGGGATTACTAGGGCTGGTGGGCTCCACGCGATGGCCATTCGGTTCGAGGGTTGCGACAACGCCAGTCGATTCAACGCCATCGCGCATCAACGTCGTATACAGGTCCTCCAGGGCCTCCGGAGAGAGCCTATGGGCGTCGAAAGCAACATTGTCGCGAACGAACTGGTTGTTGCGCAGGAGGTCGGAGATGGAGATGAAATTGGCTGGTCGTGTGTCTAGGACGGCGAGGGATTGAAAGAAGAGAAGGGATTCAAAGGGAGTGTAAGCCGACAGAGGAGGCATCCCCCATTGCCTGCGCGATCGGCCACTGGGGGAGGGAGGATGAAGAATGGGGGCCACGGTGATAGGGAAAAAAAAAAAAAAAAAAAAAAAAAAGAGTGCGCAAGGAAAATGGCCCGAAGAGGACCTCACAAGCACAAGTGAAGACTGCGTAAAAGTGATGATGATGCCAATACTAATTGATTGGTTCTTGGGAAGGAAGGAGAACGCGGTGATCGGGATACGGATGGCGGCTTAGACCATGAACGCAGCTGATGAAAGGGGGAAAGAGAAAAAAAAAAAATTGGGAAATGATCTGGACGGCACACGGACAAACTCGAATTCAGAGTAATCTTGGAGGGAGAAAATCAGGGGAAAAATAGGATAATTAGGAGAAGAGTCGACAAATGATGTAGAGCAATAAACATGGATATTAATCGGGGAGTAAGAGTCGGAATATGGGGGGGGGGAAGAGGGAAATGAAACGGGAGGACGAGGACGAGAAGGACAACTTTTTGGATTGGGAGACAGACAGATTTGCCCAGTTTTTTTTTTTTTTTTTTTTTTTCCCTTTTTTTTCTTCCTCCCTCTTTTTTTTTCTTTTTTTTCTTTTGCGACCCGGTTGGATCACGTGAAAGTTAATCGCCAAGACTCGAGGCATGACGGGACTGTAAGGTAACCAATGGCCGTACTGTATGGTAACCCTTTTACCTGGGAGCTATGCAACATGACGCCACCAAGGTTGCCCGGGTATTTTGTGTTGTGCATAAAACAAACCATTAGATGGAGTTAATAAAAAGAGGAGAAATAAGTAGAATATTTATAAGAATATTTTAGTCCATCTATATGTATAAAAGAGAAATATACTCCCCAGGAAGTGATCCATAGTCTTTCAGGTTGAGCGAAAGAGCGTAATATGATACTGTATATTACAGCACCCCACGTTGTCAAGGGGTTGCCAGTCATGGATTTACTCGGTAATTTAATTCCCCTTTCTTTGTTGCGGTTGCGTTTGCGTAATTCCTGATAGTCACAGTCAGGGTTCAGAGTTATAAGCATCTAGTACTCCATAGCCTGGTGGAATATCAAGTTCTAAAGAGGGAGTACTCCTCTTATATAGGTAGATATTTTTCTATACTCCATTTTCAGTTCAACAGCTCCAGACAACTTGGAAGTATACTGTTCAGTGTTTAGGAGCTCAAAGCTTTTGATTGTTATGGAGTCCTACCAGTGGAGAGGAGAAGAGAGGCTACTATTTATTATCCAACCAGTGAGCCTTGGATCAACTACTAGTAGCAATGTTATTACTCCATATTTACTCAGTAGGTATAGTTAACTGTTATAGATGACCCTTTTTCTACACTCTCGCCCTCCTTTTTCTCCTCTTCTTTTCGAACTCAACCCATCCCTATCTCCTACGTACCTGCTCTAGTCCATCTAGTTGGCTTTTAATCTTAATTTCTCTCCCCCTTTTCAGCTGGTCACTGGCATTCCTCCGATCTTGCAAGGCCCCTGTCAATCAATCCCATCGATAACCACAGCTAAACTAAAAACTGGTCCTGCTCCTGGCCCATCCTGAATACTTAGTGCGACAAGGCTTTTTCTATCTTTCCCGATTCCCTCATTTCCGTTAAACGTTTCCCCCTCCTTGGGCCTCCTTGGAATAATAGACTTTCAGCTGGTCCTGATATTCTGTCACATAACCTTTTTTTTTAATTCTTCAAGCTTCGTCGATACTACTCGGGGTTCTTTCCCATACTTAACAATAGAAACAACACCACTCCCCAGGAACTGCAACTGGTGATACCCACTCAACTGCCTCTCTGGGACCCCCCCCCCCCCCCCTCCGGGAACTGCTTCGTCTCTCAGAATCCGGTCGCAACAACCGATCTCTTTAAATTTTTTTTTCTTTTCAAGATTCCCCCATCGCTTGATACCCCTAACAATATCACTGCACCGAAATCATTAATCAATATGTCCGACGCTGACCAAGGTTGGAAGCCAAACCGTCGGCCGCAATCGTTCGTACCCCTGGCTCTCGCCATCCCCATACTAGCAAGTTAGTGTTAACCAAGCTTGACTCGACAGGACCATGGCGCAGGCCTTCTCTACCGCGCTGGACAGCGCGTTTTCACTTGATTCAGATGTCGATTATCTATCGCAGACTATTGATCAAAAGTAAGTGGACCTTCATCCCTCAGTGTTGTCCCGCTCTTGTCATATCCACTATGTCTACTGTAAACATGGAAACAACAAGGAGGCAGGGCTAACGTCACCTTCTAGGAAGTTTCAGATGATTATCCAGAACCGAGAACTAGAGGAACTCCAGGTCAAAATTCGAGATGCTGAAAAGCGTTTAAAAGCACGGCAATCTTTAATCCTGGATGGAAGCAGCCGACCTGCTGACGCGCAGCAAGAGGGTGGATATCAATCCACAGGTAAGAAGTGCCCAACCCCGCCAACAATCATCTGGAAGCTCATGTAACACTGTTCGTTTTAGAATCAGCTTCATCGGCAACATCCCCAACGGACATGGCAGGCCAGTACTCCAGCGGCGATGAACAACGACCGCAGGACAGAGAGGACCGGGAGCAGGGCCGCCACTCTTGACTGAATGTCACAGGTCAGGACTGGTTGGCTTCGGTAAAATGATTGAATTTGAGATGGAGTCTCTAGTGGATTGAAGCATAGCTTGTCCTGGTCTTGATCTCTCCTTTCTGGCAAGTACGTCTGAAGAGAAATGAGTTCTGTTGGTTCGTTCTCCCGTCATCGTCGCTGAGAGTCGCATTACTCGAAGATTCGACGGTCTCGGGCGCTTATTTGGTTTTGATCCCACATCTGGTGTATCCTGGCGCCTGTAGCATTTGTTGGCGTATTTGACCTGATCAGTGTATGCAAATGTCCTGTCACGACTATGCCGGCCAGGATCGCTCGGTTTGCTTTTGCTGTGGCATAATATATTATTGTTATCGTCATCGTCATTTAGATAGTGCTTCGTGCTGGCCTCAGTCATTTATATATTAATATCTTTGTTCTTCTGACTTCGGGGCAGAGAGACGGAAAGTGAAGACATCAATCACCCCGCGAGTCACCAAGGTATATATATACATAAGATACTGGCATTCATTTGTTAAAACCTATCTATATATTTTTGTCTCGGATTTGTCTATTTTCAGGCTAAGCTTGCACAAAAACCGGCTCACCGATGCAGAATCCAAGAGACTCCCTTCATTTCAGATACCTACTCTGATGTCACACTTCAATCATGAGTCTTTTTTATTCTCGGGGGATTCTGATAAAAACGAAAATGTCAAGAGGTGGAAAGCTATTAATTATGTATAGTTATATATAAGATCAACTTTGATGTAGTAATAAACTTCAAAATAATTTGTACAGTGTGAATAATAGCAAAGATATTTTAAATAATGCTTATTCAAGCCGGAATCAGGGGTTTGCGAAGCGGCCAAATGGAGTCAAGCGGGAGTCATGTATTTATTAGATTGAAGATTGAGCTTACGATGGAGAGAGAATTGGAGAGAAGATGAGATATCTACCTTTAAGTACGCCAATATTAAACCACGTATTTCCCTACAAATTACCGCTCCATGAGGCCAGTCAGTTAAAGAGATCGATCAGTTATACAGCTAATCTACGATGATGTCAGTCTACTGGAATGCTTTCTCCCTACTCCGTACTCCACCTCTATGCAGATTCAATGGCCCAGACCTCCACGATACGATGCCTTCTAAATCCTTTTGAAAGCCGCTTTTGATAAGCCCCGCACCATGTCCGAGTCCGAGTCTCTGAGTTGTACTGCATCCATCGCTATCTAGACAATTGGGACCTCAAAACTCTCTTTCCTTCTCTTCACCTCCACCCTCCTCTCCTCTCCTCTCCCTCTCTCTTACTTTTTATCACCCCGTCTCGCTCCCATTGTCGCAACCATGGTCCTTATAGACAGGCATACCTACATCTCCTCCGAGGAAAAACGATTGAAAGAGGACCGCGATCGTGTCAAGTACTGGAAAAAATGGGGACCCTATGTGGCAGAGAGACAATGGGCTACTGGTATGTCTCTCCCATCTCAACTCGACCATTTGCGTTCTTTTTTCTATCAGTCATGATAGAATGGTGAAGTTTCTGAGCTAATGGGATGTTTTTGGATTCCCTGCAGTTCGCGAGGATTATTCGTGAGTCTCCTCCTCCCCCCCCCCTTTTTTTTTAATTTTTTTTTTCTTCAATTAATCCCCATTTCTTTTTCTTTCGTGCAGCATCTGCTGTGAGGACGATGTTATTTTATGTGCTAACCTAACATCGTGATTGTAGTGACAACGGAGATGCTTGGAGCTGTAAGCCGATCCCCCCGTCTCTCCCTGCCTATATGGACCGGCGCGGGGCTTTTGCTGATCGATCGTAGACTTCTCCCACGACCATGCCCGATCGAGAACCTATCGCTGGGGTGAAGATGGAATCGCCGGTGTATCCGACACCCATGGTTTACAAAATATTGCTTTTGCATTCTGGAATGGGAAAGAGTACGTTTTGCTGGGAGGTTACCTAGACGTGAAAACATGGCCGCTTTCTAATTTCGAATTACCAATAGCGATTTTCTGAAAGAACGACTATTCGGCTTATCGAATCCCCAGGGAAATCATGGCGAGAGTGTCAAAGAGGTTCACTTTCACCTGGATAATACCCCCACGGTAAGTATATTCTCCCCTCTTAAGTATCGACCCCTTCTGACAGCTTTGCGCCCGGAGCACTCGTACATGAAATTCCTTTACAAATATCCCCAGAAAAAGTTCCCTTACCAGGATTTGATTGATGAAAACGCTCGACGGGGAAAAGAAGACCGCGAGTATCAGATCCTCGACACCGGTGTGTTCGGCGAGGACCGATACTGGGATATCTTCATTGAGACCGCCAAGCATGATGAGGATGAAGAAGAACTCTCATTTCGTGTAATAGCCTACAACAGAGGCCCCGAGCCTGCTCCTTTACATATTATTCCTCATGTCTGGTTTCGAAACACCTGGTCTTGGGGGTATAAGGGCCAGGAAGAAAAGCCCTCCATTGAGCAAGTCTCCCCGCTCACAGCCAAGACCACTCATGAGAAATTAGGAGAGCGATTTGTCCGCTTTGCTCCTTCACCAGCCACCGGGGACGCCCCGGAAGACGTCAGACCACAAATGATGTTTACTGAGAATGAGACAAACAATGAGCTAATGTGGAAAACCGAAAACAAGCAGCCTTACGTGAAGGACGCTTTCCATCGTCGCATAGTTGACCAGGAGAAAGATGCCGTCAACCCCGCCAATAAGGGCACAAAATTTGCCGCTTGGTATACTTTTGAGCAAGTCCCTCCTGGGGAATGCGCTGTCGTCCGTTTCATGCTGTCTCGAAAACACGAGGATATTGTGAATGAGGAGACGCTGGATGAGATTGTTGAGCAGCGTAGAGCCGACGCCGACGATTTCTATTATCAAATTAGTCCTTTGCCAATGAGCGATGATCTGCGAAACATTCAACGGCAGGCATTTGCTGGATTGATGTGGACGAAACAGTATTACCACTTTGTCTGGGACCAGTGGGCCAACGGGGATCCTGCAATGGTCGCACCCCCCCCAGGTAGGAAGAACATTCGCAACGCGCAATGGAAACATCTGTACATGGATGATATTCTCTCGATGCCGGATTCTTGGGAATACCCCTTTTTTGCGGCTTGGGACACTGCCTTCCACTGTATTCCTTTAGCGATGATTGACCCCGACTTTGCAAAGCGCCAGTTGGATGTGCTCACCCGTGAGTGGTATATGCATCCAAACGGCCAACTGGCGGCGTACGAATGGAACTTTGGCGATGTCAACCCACCGGTCCATGCATGGGCCGTTTTCAGAGTGTTCAAGATCGAGCGGAAGATGTACGGTCGACAGGATCTTGATTTCCTAGAGAGAGTATTCCAGAAACTGCTCCTAAATTTCACATGGTGGGTAAACCGAAAGGACTTTGATGGGAAGAATGTTTTCGAAGGAGGATTCCTTGGGCTCGATAACATTGGGCTCTTTAACCGCTCGGAACCTCTTCCTACAGGTGGAGTCTTGGAACAGGCCGACAGTACGGGTTGGATGGCTTTCTATTGTTTGTGCATGCTCAACATTGCTCTTGAACTTGCCAAACATCGACGAATCTATGAAGACAGTACGTAGTCCTACGATTCCAGTTGATTTTGCTAACAGGGTCTAGTTGCTTCGAAATTCTTCGAGCATTTTATTCTTATCAGTGATGCTATGACGTTCAGGTCTGGAGGACAAGAGACCTCTCTCTGGAACGAGGAAGATGGGTATGTTTGGCTCCGTTGCCCACTCCACGACATCAATTCCTGACGCACGCAGATTCTACTACGATGCCATCTCATACGGTGAACCATGGACCCAACAGCTTCCCGTGCGATCACTAGTCGGGTTGATCCCATTGTACGCCGTACTGACCCTCGAGCCCGAACTAATCAACAAATTCCCTTCCTTCAAGCGACGGCTAAACTGGTTCATCGAGAACCGACAAGACGTAGCGGAGCGGAATATCGCTAGCATGAAGCGCCGTGGAAAAGGGGAGCGTCTCCTCCTCGCCCTGGTGAGCAGAGACCGCCTCGAAAAGATCCTGAAGCGCATGCTAGATGAGACCGAATTCCTCTCTGAGCATGGAATCCGATCTATGTCCAAATACCACGAAACCCATCCCTACTCTATGGAAGTCAACGGCCAGACGTTCGGGGTAAGCTACGTCCCCGGTGATTCAGATAGCGGTCTCTTCGGTGGCAACAGCAACTGGCGTGGCCCTGTCTGGCTGTGCGTAAACTTCCTGCTCGTCGAATCCCTGCTCCGGTTCTACATGTTCTACGGAGACTCCTTCCAGGTCGAATGCCCAACGGGATCAGGAGAATACATGCATCTCGGCCAAGTCGCAGAAGAAATCCAACATCGATTGCAGCATATATTTGCACGTAATGACGAGGGCCGTCGAGCAACGCACGACGGATCCGACCTTCTCGATTTCGACGACCACTGGAAAGACTACGTATGGTTCCACGAGTTCTTTGACGGCGACACTGGACGCGGTCTGGGCGCATCCCACCAGTGCGGTTGGACCGGGTTAATCGCAAAAGTCATCCATGATACAGGGTATGTCTCGTCCCCTCTCTCTCTGTTTCCCTTTTCCCTTCCACTCTAATCTACCAAATCACCACCTACGCTTCTCTCTAACCAAAAAAAAAAAAAAAAAAATTTAATCACACAGCGTCAACTGCCGTCTCCCACAAACACCCCGCTCCCCCTTCGCAGCAGCAGGCCACTACTTCGATGACATCTTCACCCGCTCCATTCACTCCCGCGGCAGTAGCAGTGGCAGACCACACATCCGTCGCTCGTCAACGAGCCGCTCAATCGGCAACAGAAGCGACCTGGAATCCGCATTTACAGGCGAGACTCCTGCAGATGAGGAAGAAAAGTCCGAGCGTGGCTTCGAGAACCACATGTCGCATTATGTGGAGAGTCAGTTACAGCGGGTGCGGAGTCAGGTGTCTATGGGGGCTTATGAGGATGAGTTCGAGGCGCAAGCGGATGGAGTGTCGAATGGGCATTAGAAAAAAGAAGTTTTTTATTCTTGATTTATTTTGGTTTATTTTCTTTGGTTGCTCTCCTTTCACTTGTGTAGTTGGGATATGATGATGTTATATGTTTGTACGTAGAGTATATAGTAGATTAGAATAGAGCAGACTTACAGACAGGCATACATAAATACATACATACATACATACATACACACACACACACACTACCACTTTCTTCCTTTTTTTCTTTGTTTATTTCCTTCTCCACTCTAAAGATCCAACCATGCCCCGAACTCTAAAAGAATAAGATATGTATAGAAATAGAAACTCAATTCTGTCTATCTCTTCAGAACTAGAGTCAAGCTATTTTCTATTCAAACAAGGTAGCGGTAACGGTAGCGGATAGTGTGGTAGGGTACAGGAGATATATAGGAGAGAGAAAAAGAAAAGAGAAACAAAGGGGGAAAAAAAAAAAGAAAAGGTAAAGAACAAAGATAATGTTAGCTAATGGTACTGCGTAGATAATGTAGTAGTAGTAGTAGTTTTAAGTGTTAATTTACAAAGCATCGGTGAGGGCCTTGTTGAGCTTAGCGATCTTGGAGGAGACGCTCAGGTCAATGGTGCGGTCACCGATTTCGACAACAAGGCCGCCAACAATGTCGGGGTTGACCTATATATTTCATTAGAGTTTCACTCTTATGTTTTTTTTATGTGTGTTTTTTACTGTGGTATGAGAGAGACTTGAGCAACAGGGCTTACCTTGGAGACGATCTTGAGCTTCTTGCCCTGGCTGAACTCGGACTTGGCAACGGCCTTCTCGAGACGGGTGAGGGTCTTGTTGTCAAGTTCCTAAATTCGGTCAATAAATTTCTTTCGCAGTCTCAAAATAGACAAGGAGGAGAAGAGAGGAAGTACCTGGGCGCTGGTGATAGTCAGCTCAATCTCACCACGGTGAGCGCTCATAAGAGTGCCGAACTTCTCGCAAACACCGTCGAGGAGACCGAGACGGTTGTTCTCAGCCAGGGTAGCGAGGAAGTTCTTGAGGATATCGGCCTTGTCGGCGCCCGCAACCTTCTGGAGTTCAGCGACGATCTGCTGCTTGTCGCTGGCGGTCAGGGTAGGGGTGGAGAGGATGTTGATGAGCTTGGGGTCGGCCTTGAGGGCGGCACCGAGGTTAATGAGGGCCTTGGAGGTAGCGTCAAGGGCGGAAGACTTGGCGGAGGCAGTGTACTACATTCAATGAATTGCATTAGATTTTTTTTCCCCTCTCTCTTCTCTTTGAATTGTCAAGTTCGGCGGTAGATGCGTGTTCGTGTTTTTGTTTTCAATGTTTTCATTGACGATATTGAAGGGTTTTCGGCTCAACGGAGTCTGCGCCCTACAGGGACGGGAAAATCGCAATTGGGAGAAAAGAAAGGCTATATCATACCAGAGCAGTGGCATAGGTACCGTCAACGCCGAACAAGGAGACAGGAGGCTTGACATCCTGGGTAGCGGTGGCATAGGTTCTCAGGCCGTTGATGGCAGCGGTGCGAGGAACGGAGAACTGCTGGGCGGAGGCACGGAGGCCGGCACGGGCAAGGCGAGCGGAGAGCATGATGATGGTGTTGGTGTGGGAGACGGGGACCTCGAGGGGAGAGGAGGAAGGTAGAGGCGTGGAATTGGACGCGAGAGGACGAGGGTCGTAGAGACTCAAGAGGGGTGCAGAGATGATGCCGTTCAAGGATGAGGTCCAACTTCTCCCGGCCACGGTCACGTGAGATTCCGCACTCGCCGAGATTTCGGCTGGAGTCACGTTTTTGTGGTTCTTTTCATTAATCTAGATGGATCATTTCGGTTGGTGATGGAAATTTTCATTTCTCTTTTTTAAAAAATCATTATAAAACATAAAAAGACATGCTCCTCTCGACTCGGACACGTCATGGAAATATCCTTCCCTAACACCTTAACGCCAATTTATTCTTGTGCATTCGTCTTCGTCCCTTGCTACACGGATTAGTCGCTGCGCAGCATGCTGTCCACCAAATCTCCTAACGGTCCCCAGAAATCCTTTCCACTTGCCAACCGATGCTCATCGATAAATAACACGTAGTGTTTGAAACTGGTATTGAGGTGTGGCTCGAGGCCTAAATGCACAATCACGGGATAGTGGTGGCAGTAGATGTGCGCATACACTCGATACATTCTCTTGAAGATCTGCCGGACGAGACTGGAGAAAGCTTTTGGGAACGGAGCACCTGGTCAACATTCTGTCAGCTTTGTCTTAATGGACCCGGGTGAAGATAGATTAAACATACCCAGCCGACTAGGAAACATCTGCTCGTTGTCGACGTTACTCTGAACCCAGCTCATCAGATGTTCGATATACTCGGGCGCAGACATCTTCGTGGGCCGCTTGAAATTCTCCGAATCCTGCCACAGATACTCGAATCTATTCACGTCAGAAGCCACTTCGCTGATGAGGACACAGAGAACGCGTACTCATCGGTCGCCTTCATTTCGGGACATGTCTGTGGGGAGCAAAACTCGGTGATGGATCCGTAAAGAAGATTGATCTGGTTGTAGAAGTCGACAACTACCGCGCAAGCAAGACGCTTGTCAGTATTGATATCGTAGTCGGGCCCGTTTACCACCTCGGGAGTGACATACCGTTAACAGCAAGCCATTCGTTGATATCTTCGCCCTCTGGAAGCCTCACTGCCTTCCGTAAGCTCCCACTGCCGAGGGTAGCCTCCGCGAATTGTCTGAGTTGATAGCTGCTAGTCCCCTTGGCCGTAGAACGAGGCTTGAAGGGGGCTCGTGTCCGAGCATTGCTGGGAGGAGTTAGTCCACAGAACCCTGGGTTTAGTGCGCAAACAGCAGACGAAAGATAAGACGGAGGTTCTGAGAGGGTGACATAGGATTTATGCACGGTGTTGTAGGATGCAGAAGGGGCGAGAGCTGGGGGTATTGGGGAGGATGCGGACGTTGATGACATCGGAAGAGGGGCAGCGTCATCAACAAAGGAAACAGAAATCAAGGGAACAGACATGGTGGTGATAAATGAAGAAGCCATTCTTCTTTCCCCCGCCGCAGACAAACGACTGGGCTCTGAGCGAGCGAAGGAGCCGGAATTCCTCGCGCCTTGTTTTCTACCCTTGTGGAATCCAAGAGTGGTCGTGGTAGGATAGGTTGTGTGGTCGATCGAACAGGAACGTGCCTTTCTATATTCCAGCGAGAGAAGCGAGGGGTTAGTTCTTTCTTTTCCCCTTGATTTCTTCATATCATTCACTTGACTTACTGCGACCAACCCGGGGTAAAAAACGGAGATACTGTGGCGATGAGGGGGCGATTTACTTGCGGGATGGAGGAAGGATGGAAGGTGAAGGGGATCGAATCACAAGCAGCGATCAACCACACTACAGAATAAAGAAATAGAAAACCAAGGTAAACAACGCAGGCAAAAAAACCAAAAAAAAATTAGGATCAAAAGCAACGATGCCTCCCAGGGCTGGGAAATTAACTCAAGATTGATGCGGTCATCGTGCTGCCCAGGGTCTCCACGATCTCAGCTCCCTCAGAGATCCGACTCCATGGATGTGAAACATCAATCCGTTGCCCTGGCGATAATTCCATCCCAAGTCTTTGCATTCAGCTGTTACTCTGTATGTACCATAGGATTAGAGTTGATATTTCATTATATATCTTCCACGTCATACAGTCATCTTGAAATTAACAAAGTAAGCTATTGTGTTTTGTCTATATAGAATACCCTTCATTTTCCTCTGGTAGCCTTTCCCGCACTGTCTCACCGTATATCGTGATGGGAATCGCAATTTCAAACGACTCGCAACCCAAATGTTCCAGAGCTGAGAGTGTACAGCCTCGTTCATCCTCAAATACTGCCTCCAGTAGTCGAGCACCCGAAGGGCCAGATCCCATCTCATCGGGTATACTTGAAGTCACGAACTCAAATCTGAGCTCCCATTCATGATTCACCCCACTAGTGAGTATCGTAGGCGTGGCAGAAACCGGGATGGCCGGGCTAAACACAACCCGTGTCGAGTAGAGGGTGTTTTCAAAGAATGACGCATGGACCCGTCGCGTTGCACGACGAATACTCGCACTGGATCGTACTGCCAGATGTGCATCGACACGCTCAGAGCTCTCTAGGCTCGCCCGGAGTGCGTAACACGGAAGCGCAGCCTCAGCAAAATTTACTGTCGCAATGAGAGTCTCGCCCAATCTATGGGCTGGTCGATTAAGCACTACAACAGCAATTCGACGTCCACCACGAGCAATCTCAAATCGGTTAGGGCTCTGGGAGGAGTTGATAGTCTGATTGCTTCGGAGTATCGCCAGGTCAATTGCGTCCTTGCAAGACAGGGGACCTGCGGATGGGTCATGACTCTGGCGTTTTTCAAATATTGTGTCCGGTGGTTTCAAACGACTATTACGAGACCGTTGTTCGAGAATTTCATCAAGGTATGACAAGAATTCCGGGGCTGATGTCCATGCAGGCCTACTCATGCTCTCGGCCTTTGCAATCGGTGGTGGGAAAGACCCTATTTTCTGCACCCTGGCTTCATCACGAAGGAGCACGTAAGGGCGCATCAAGTCATGGCCAAGGATGTCCCCGTGGGCTGCGGAAGTTAGCACGGGCTGCAATATAACGGAATGGATACAACTTACGATTTACTCCGCTGAACACACGGAAAGGTATACTGATACGGTTAACCCGCTGAGGTTCGTTCGTGGCATTAGGTCGCTGAGTTCCAATGACAAGGTTGTAGGAGATCTTGATGGCCTTCCCCTTATGGCTCGCGGGGAGACCACTGGGTAAAGTGAAGGAAAAGGAGAAGGACTGTTCCTCTCCTGGCGCCAATCGAAGGTCAACGAAGAGGAGTGATTGTGAAGTAGACAGCAAGGGAATTGACTTCGATGAAGAAACTCCTCGCATATCTCGTAGTCCATCGAGGTCGTTGTTGGTGAGAAGTCCGCCTAGGGACTCCTCTATCGTATTCCAGTTTAACGCACCCCAAAAGCCACCTTTTCGGCCTTTGTCACCGGACGAGGAAGGTTTACCGTTGGGCACATTCCCTGGGTTACCCACACCACCAACTACACCTTTCCTTTTGACCTCCTCGAAGACTGATTGGTTAATCAGCGAGCCATCGACCGTAAACGACGCACTAATCTGAGCATAGCCCATGAGCAGCGTTTGCCCGTTCGACAGCACTCCTGCAGACTCCATGCTGGAAAAACGCCGGCTGTGGCGGGGGAAACTTGAGCGTGGCACGGGAATCGAGTAGTTTGTGTATTCTGACTGAAGGGTCTCGGATGAATTATTGCTCATGGAGTAAAATTCTCCGCTGCTTCTATGACTCCCACTCAAGCTGGAAGCTGACATGATTTTAGTGAGCTGGGGCACCTGGCCCGGAGCAGTTAGGGAAGAAGAGTCTTTGAAATTATATTTCGCCGTCACTGGCGTTCCGGCAGGCCTGTCTATAGATGCAGACGAGACTGGCGCCTTGGTGTCCGCATCGGTCTCTGTCGGAGGTGGAAACTTGAAATCCATCGGTGGCAGCTGAGGTCGTCTCCCTGGTCCACGCGTTGCTGCGGCTGGCCTTACAGGACTTGGGGCACCAGATCCGAGACGGTTGCCTTTGTTTAAGGCGTCAATATCTACCTTGACGTTGGTCGAAGAAGGATGAACTGGAGAGTCGGGCGGCGGAAATGCGCGGATTGGGCTCCTCGCGCCTGATGAAACGAAGACAGTCAGTATATAAAAAGATCGAAGATTTACATGTAGTGAGAGATAGATACCTTTCCCAATGGCGTCCTCGTGGCCTTCATATCTTCTCGGCACCACCTGCAAACTTGCAGACCGTCCATGGCCCCTTATGGGCCGCGGATAGCTGAATTGCGAGGAAGTCCTTGGAGTTTTATCTCCGGCAGTTCCTCCCGCTCCTCCTTCACTGTCGATTGACAGAATAGAGATTGATCTCTTATGTTTGTGGCCGGGTGGTGAAACAATTCGGGGCGAGGAAGGAGGGGGGAAGCTGTGGGAGCCGATCAACGGCGAGCTTACTGAGGACGAGAACCGGTGCGACGGACTCTTCCTAGGAATGAGAGGGTAGGAGCGGCGATGGGGACTTTTGAAAGGGTTCGAGGGTAGTTTTAGGGAAAAGGAATCGGAATGGGTGCTCGCGGCGCGAGACTGCTTCCTTTGATGGGGTGTTTGCGGTCCCCCGGTGCCAGGCTCCACGCCCTTCTCCGTCACGTTCTTGAAAGTAATTGTACACTCCACATCCTCACCTGCAAAGATAGTCTGGTCTTTCCACTTTACAAAGACCTGGATGTCCGATGGCATGGCGAGTGACGCAGAATTATCCCATGGGCGGAGGAAGCTAAGCAGAAATCAGGGAGCTTGAGGCAGATTGGTGGGTACCCGCCGCCACCTCGCGAAATCTAGAATAAATGCAGGAATATCGATACAATGGACAGTGAATTAAAGAATGCCAGCTAGGGCACGTTGGACTTGCGAGCCATTTCTGAAGGGTTTGTAAAGAAAAGGAGGAGGGGAGATGGCGCGTGTAACCCAATTGGGGACTGGTCAAGATCGAGCGGCTCCTCGACGTCGGATATGCGGTGGTTTTGGTGGTGAACTAGCCAGTAAACTACCAGCAGGGACCCTCCACAGTAAGAATCCCCACCTCTTTTTGAAGACCTTACACTTTTTTTTTTTTTTTTTTTCCTTTTTTCTAGCAGGTATGGGACTGCAATTTGCAGGAGTTTGGTGGAATAGACGAACAGGCTGGGGATTTGGTTGTTCTTTCAATGGCTTTGTCTCATGAATACTGGGCAACAGATCCAACCATCGTACCAAGGCATAATAACATGATACGATTTTAAAATGCACAAACAAGGAGAAAGTGGAAGATAGGTTTTATATAGTTACTAATGTACAGAACATGAACCTAATAATATACAGATGATTCAACAGCGCATAACCGTGCCAATGGTGTCCAGTCAACATAATTACTCCTCACTTTTGCTGTCGCGATTACTATTCTTATACAACAATGCCTTCGCATCGCTGAGTTCATCCGTAAGCTTGGTATGCGGTCGCAATCCCAGTTCCGAAAGATGGCTCCAGATTCGATCATGTCGCTTTTCCCATCGCTGGCGTCGGTTCTCTAGCTCGTCCACGGAAGGACGCCATTTGCTCTTGAGAATTCTTCGAATCGCCTCTGGTGACACTTTGAACTGTTCCGCGAGAACAGGGGTCGTGAATTGATCTGGAGCCACAGCATGCAAATGACGAATTCCCTCAAGAGCGTCTGGAGAAAGCTTCTTGGGAGGACTCCAGCCAACTTCAAATTTCTTCCTCAGAGCGTCTTTCTGGATCTGCCACGCCTCGCGTTTCTTTTTTGGGTAGGGCCCTAGGGGCTTTCTGTCGTTTGGCACATCTTTATTTGTCCTGGAAGATTTATCTGCTCTTTGGCGATAGATTTGAGAATCGGTTTTTACATGCGATCTCGTGTGTTTTGGTTTTGAGTTTGAGTTCGTAATGAGTGAAGAAGGCGCATTTTGCGGACTTTTAATCAGGCTGTGGTCTGCAATTTGGTCTGGTTGGTCCACAGCTAAATTATCCGAGGTGACTGGAGCCGCGGCTTGAGAATATTCAAGGGAATCGTTTCGGGGGAAATGAGCACAGCGGGAGGAGCTCAAGTATCTTTGATTTCCGAGCGCGTGGTAGGAAGGAAAAGATCCGTTCGAGGGCGAACGAGCATCACATTGATGAGTTCGACGAGTGTAAACGTGTGGTACGTGTCCGGAGTAAAATAGGTTTCGGAGGATGGTGGGAAGTGATAGTTTAGCTGAGGTAGGGCAAAGAGACGCCATGGTGGAAATTTTTGTGTCTCATCAATGGTGAAAAACACCGGAAGTCTGTCCACGGGGCGATTTTCTGGGGATTTTTATGTCGCCTTAGGCATCAATATCATGTGACAAAGTTTATAGCCCAGCTTGAGTTATTTTCTCTGGAAGCAAATACTCGCAGGGTATCATGGTAATCTAAGCCAAATATCTCAAAGTAATTGCAAGGCGGCTTTATAGAGACGTGTAAATTCTAAAAAAAAAAAGTGCATGTTGGGTGAAAGCTGCCCCGGCACTTCCTCCGATCACAGGGGATCCAAAAATCCTTCCTACCAGCTAATTCAAGAAGATCAATCTTTTGTCAAGTCAAGTGTCTTAATATTAGATCTACGATGGTCAGTGTCATCATAACTAGCTATGGTGTTTACTATTTCATCACTTAAGTTTACCGCTCATAATTTCATCATTGCGCAAGAGAATCCAATTATATATATACAGGAGACTAGCGCACCAGCCTGCTTTGCATTTCCATGACTACAAAGCTAAGCATAACTAACAAGAGGAGAACTGTCCATAATACTTGGCAAATATACTTCTTCTGTCTCCCCCCTCCCAGTATTACCAAGGTAGTTCTTGAAATGTACGATGTGATGCTAGGTTTTGAAGAATCTTCCTGCTGAAGGCGTGACCTTGACTTACTACCCCACATTATGGGGAATACTGAACCGGGGGCATAGAGACACTGGACATCGCTTATCAAGTCCTCAAGCATCTTATCGACCTCTACAGTACCCTCAATGAATCCTGATTTATAGGAAACTCGAATAACCCTAGAAGCAAGCCCTATATCCTAAATAGGAAAAAGTACCTGATCACGGCTTCATTATTCCACAGGTGGTCACGTGGCGCTTGGTTTGGTTTGAGATTTATAAACTTACAAAGTGTGATAGATCTCCAAGTGAAGGCAAGGAAAGTCAGCTATATTCCGTATCACTATCCATTGACCCTATTGTAAATATGCCTAGGAATCAACTCGATTGAATAACTAGGTATTCTACTCCAGTAGGTAAGGCAAGTGTACCTTGAGGTGATCACCTGGGTATGGGAGGCTACTCGGTACCCCTTGCAAGGAGAGAACTGCCTGGAGATCATATAGTCCACTGGAACGCGAAGAAAGAAATATAAGTTCATATGAATTTAGTCCTCTCTAAAATCAAAGAAGAATAATAATTTATGATACCATCATACATGCTTTTTATTGTGTGAAGTTGTCGATATAGTAATCTACTATAATTGACCTCTCTATATTGCTGGCTGGATAGGAAACGCCTCAAAAAACTGAAAATAATCCATCCTATCTTTGAGTCGATATATAATTTTTTCCTTGTCAAAAAGAAGTTCTCTAATTTACAAGAAATACTCTAACTCTCTCCCGCGTATCATACTAGACCAGCTCCTTTCCTCTATCTAGTCTATAGCAGGTCGATCGCACTTCCACTAGCTAAAGAGGTTCGTCCATCCTGCATGGTTCGTCTGGTTCGTTCTGCCGAAAGAATGTTGCTCCATCACAGTAGTACTAGTAGTAAGGTACCTAAGTAATAATATTGACCTGCATCTTCTCTTCCTCCCTTCCTCTGTCTTCTACTCTCTTAATTTTAATTCATCCTTTTCCCCCCCTCTCTCTTCCATCTTCAAATCTCTATCTTCCATCAGTCACTCTTTATCCTTCACTGTTTCGTTTTGACTTTTCTTCCCCCTTCTCAGTCTCTCTTTTATTCACCTCCGTTTTGTTATTGGGCTGCTCCCCACTCCCACAGATATCGACTCCCATCATCGCAAAAAAAAAAAAAAAGAACTGCTCGCTCCTCCCTTACTGATTTCGTGCCCTCCAGTTGAATCTCCAGACCAATAAGATAATCCTAGGGGGTTCGTTTCGACTTCCTCCTGCCGTTCCCTAACTTTCACTTCGTTCGCTCCTTCGTTTGCTTTGTCCCCTTCGACGGTCCAGAAGCAGAGCTCTTTGTTTGATCCCGGAGCAGATTAGACCCACGCCGCTCGTTCGCTCGTCCCAACCAATGCGACCGAAACCCATACCTTTCTTCGGGGACAGTGAACCTTCCTAACTGCTCGTCGCCTGTGATGGCGAATAACTCTCTGGGTGTGAAAAGCAAGACGGCTGGCCCGGCTCCATTCCTCAGAGTTACCCCCTCTAACTCCCCCATCCCCATCCCCAGACCACCGACGCGCTCCTCCACCAAACCTTCCTTATACCAGTCCACCTTGTCCCTCAAAACCGTCATTGGCACAACAACCACAACCCCCAATGGCTTCTCCTATCATGACCAGAGCCGGTCATTCGCCCTCTGCGCAGGCTCCGCTGCCGTATTGGCTGACCTGGACAATGACGACAATGTAAATCAACGGTTTTTTCGTGCCCGACCCTCCGCAGCCAGTATCAACCCTGTAACGTCATTCTACAACCAATCGACTCCTCCAACTACCCCTGATGCCAGACCGAAGTCTTTCTCCGGCACCAAACCGATAGCCTACAACGGCATTTACAATGGCTCGCCGTCCACTGAAATCGTAGAAGCTCCTAGCCCGCGCGCTTGGTCTTCAAGAGAAAGAGTGAAGGCAGTGACCAGTGTCGCTCTTAGTCCTAATGGCAGGTTCCTTGCTGTAGGGGAGGTTTGTGATACCCGTTACTTTCTCGGCGTAGGGGACATAATGCATCTGACTTCTTGTTCTAGACCGGGTATAACCCAAGGGTTTTGATCTTCTCGACAGCCAAAGATGCACCCTCTGACGTACCGCTTTCAATACTCACGGAACACTCGTTCGGTGTCCGTGCCCTTGCTTGGAGCTCGAATTCGCAATATTTAGCCACTCTTGGGGATGTGAACGATGGGTTTCTCTTTGTCTGGGCTGTTAGCCTCAAGAATGGCTCAGCAAAGCTCCATTCTACCAATAAATGTACCACTGTCATTCGTGATATGACATGGATGGGCCAGACTTTGATTACGTATGTTCCGCGAAATCCTGGTTCAAATTACGCTTATCAGTAACTAAACCTTGTGATAGGGCGGGCATTAGACACGTCAAGGTTTGGAGACTTCCTGAAGTACGACCCGCCTCTCCGTCGAAGTTGCGCTCCATCGGCGAACAGACTCCTAACATCACGATCACCGCGCCCAAGGCACTCTCTGGGAGAAACTGTGTATTGGGCGCCTTGGCAGACAGCACATTTACCAGCCTGGCCAGGCTATCTGACTCCGAAGTTGTTGTTGGCTCCGATTCTGGGGCACTATGTATTATTGATGACAGTGAAGGCAACGCGAAGTTTACTCTGGCCCAACATGTGGAGTTCGGTATCACTTCCCTCACGGTTGATTCGGATCGGTTTTGTATCTGGATTGGTGGACGTGGAAGACGTATGCGGAGGTTTACCTTTGAGTCGTTACGACCATCGAGCAACCCGTGCTCCCCTCCCACTTCTGGGAGATCTTCAGCAGAGCAGAAGTCCAAAGAGCCCGCGATCACTTGCATGGGATCCCTTGCCTCCCACTTGGTCACGGTAGATTCTACGAAGGCAATTCACATCTATTCAATGGAGAAACTGAACGATCTCGGCGAACAGTGTGACGTGGGAACAACGATGCCTGCTCATCGGGACGCGGTTCTTGGAATTGGCCCTTTAAAAACATCTAACCATCTCGGAGCCAATTTCTTTACATGGTCTTGTAAAGGCATGGTTAAGTTTTGGAACACCCAAGGCGAGTGCCGCGGTTCGCGAACTATCACTATTGAGCAGCTCCCAGGGAGTGACGATGATATTTCGAACGAGTTGAAAATATTGCGAGCGACTAATAAGATGGAGATATTTGTCTCTGGCGATAAGCTCGGCGTTTTACGGTATTTTTCCTACCCCTACCCAGTCTTGTCCTGATTTCGTCCTTGGCTGATGGTTTTCTCGTAGAGTGTTGCAAGGTCAGTTGTGGAATTGTACGAATGAAGTGCGGGCGCACGGCGCAGAGATTACAGACATAGCTCTCTATCAAACGCCTGACTCTTGTATGATTGCTAGTTCTGGCCGGGATCGGATGGTGCAACTGTTCGAAAGACGCGAAGAGAGCCTTCAATTAATTCAAACCATGGATGACCACGTTGGAGCCGTTGGCCAGCTTCTTTTTATCAGCGCAGGAGAAAAGCTCCTTTCGTCTTCTGCAGATCGTACGATCCTGGTTAGGGAACGGGTGACCCGAGAAGTTGATGGAGAAACTGCTATTGCATACCTGATATCAAGGGTAATTACTCTGAGATCATCTCCGGTGTCCATGTCACTATCTCCAGATGAACCTGACAACCTGGTCTTTTCTACTGTGGATCGTTGCGTACATCAATATGACATGATATCTGGCCGTCACGTGCACTCTTTCCGCGCAGCAGATCCTGAATCGAATGATACAGTGGCCATGGGTTCGTTGACGGTAACCTCAAGTGTTGCTGGTCAAAGCCCTAAGTTGCTTGTTGGAGTCTCGGGAACCGACAAGTCGATTCGTATATACGATTTGGAAAAAGGGGTTCTGCTTACGGGAGAATTTGGACACACTGAAGGTGTCAGCGATGTCCAACTTCTAGAAGCTCCCCCTGATGTGCCCGGAAATTCTGCAGAGCGCATACTCGTTAGTTCTGGGATCGACGGCGTGGTCATGATATGGAATGTGTCGGTGCAGTTACAACAACCTACCCAGCCAGCCGCTCAAGAGGAGGAAGATGTACCTGCTAAAGAGCTTACGGTCTCCAAGCCTCCTCTGAGAAAAATTTTATCGCGAGCAGAACTAGCGGGGTTCCAACGACCGGACAACATGGTGACAACTCCTACCCCGGTACGCGAGCAATGCCCACCATTGTTGCGCAAATTATCTAGATTTTCGCTTGTCTCTTCAAAGAACGGAAATGTGCCCCCCATGACGCCCCCCTCGATCCCTAACCGCCGCTCCCCTACTTCGGGGAGTCGTCCAGAGAAACTGCGGCGTTCTCCCTCACCCCCTAGCCCGCGAACGACGGGTGCGAGGAAGACTATGGAACCTCGCAGCGACAGTCGCTGTTCCTCTCTGGATTTCCGCGCGCGTACCCGAGGATCAGCTAAAAGCGAGTTTGGGAGCCTAAATATGTCAACAGAACAAGTATGCCGCACGCTTAAAGCCTACAGAAAAAAGCTCAATGGATGTACGGAATATCTCCATGCTCAAAAGGATTTGGAGCGTGAACTAGGCCTCACCTTGCGAGCTCTGAATTCCCGGGCCAGAAAAAGTGAAACGGGAGAAACCGAGACCGATAGCAGCGGGAAAGAAAATGAAAAGATACCAGTTCCCCCTATTCCCCCCATTAATAAAACGCCGCGCCTACCACGTCGAGCCCCATCAACACCTAATCTGAGCCAAAACAAATCGCCAAACTATTCTCGACGTCGTTCTCTTGATGCAGATGGAGAAGGATAAACGTACTGGCAGGTACGATTCTTCTCCCCCTTGAGTAATGCTCGTAGCTCTTTTTGCTGGCTACTTCGAGCGGCGGAGGTTTTTTCCCCCACATATCGCGTCATAGACCCTTTGCATTTTGCAAAGCATGCTTTCTATCATATATTTCCTAATGTTGCATTGTTTCTTAGCATGGCAGGTGTTCATTTGTTTCTGGCTTTATTTAGCATGTTTTACAGGTGCTTTGTTTTCATTGCCGGAGAGGTCCTTCTAGTGATAGGTATTCCCTGATTTAAGGGCATGATCCTCCACCACTGAATTGTCTAATTTTGTTTTTGGTTCCTTTTGAGCTCTTCTATTTTTTATTTGGCTGATATTTGGAATTTCTTCGACATTGAGCTAGTCTCCTTGTTGCTCATCGTCCGCTTCACCAGAGAAGACCTTTGGCGGCTTTCTTTCGTTTCTTTTCTTTCTTCGACTCTTTTCTGGCTGGTTTTTTCCTTACCTCTTTTTTTTCCCTAGGTAATTTCTAAAATGATACCCATGCTGAATCAGAATTTGTGATATGCCCTTGCGGCACCACAGATTCTAATGTCCATACAGTTTACCCTTGACTTTACGCTCTTTAAACTGTACCAACGTTCCTGGCAATCTTTAGATGTAGGTAAAATCTACTCTTGTCGTAAGAGGTTATGGTTTTGGACTCAATGCTTTCTTATGGGCACACTCTATATGAATTAGGTTTTTGCTACTGTGGTTAAAGAGGAATCTTTCGACGGGCCTCTTAGTATACATCTGAGTGCACTCACTACCTGTGAACGGTTGTTATATCAAGCTATCGAGATTTCCATGGTGACTTGGAGGTACAGAGGATGTTATAGCTCGCCAATGGGTCTTCCATACCACCCAGCTCAAGGCGACTCCGGAAGAGGAGGTTTTACAGCCATAGTGCCCTGCAAACAGCCCGTCCATCTGCATAAGATAGAGATAGAGATAGAGATAGAGATAGTTACCTTGTTACTTCATTAAGGTTATGCAACAGACTTGCCTCCACAAGTACTGTCAGCCTTATCTAGAAGGACTCTTCAAAGCCTTAATAATTAATGAATCCTCGCTTCATCTGCACTGCTGTGAATAGCTGGATGAGCACACAAAGCCACGTCATTTACTTATGGCAGTGACCTTGGAGCTTACTCTAGGTAGCTTATTCCTTCACTCCTCTACATATTTTATATTGGAACCTCCTGGAAGCCTCTTTCTTCCATTCACTTCCAACCGTTTGCAAAAGTTGCCTAACACCACGTGGTCCATAGTATTTAACCCGTTAATTCATTCTACAACTTCATCTATCTTAAGCAACCTTTCTTCTATTTCCATATCAATAGATTTCATTTCGTCATTAGAATTTGACATCCATCATTTTATTTATTCAACATCCGCTTGGCTCACTTTGCAGCCTTTCTCAATCTATCTATTGCACCCTGGCTGGTTGAGTCTCCCCAGGCTATCTGTTTATCAACATGGCTTGACTTCGCGGTGTTGCTATTTATCACCCTCCGACTTGACTTGATTCGCGGTTCTTTTCTTTACACTCACCCAATACCAGTACTAGTAAGTACTGTCAATTAATACCAGAATAGTTCGAGTGCATGGATACCCCCCGGCCGAAATTCTCCTCGGGTTTAACCCCAAGATGATGAATGGAGCGAAGACGGAAGTATCATAGTGCCACAACTAATGCGGTGGTGGAAGAATGCGCCAGACGTGGACACATTTCGATTTGAACACCACCGTGGCGTTGCCTGAATGGGTAGATGGTGGTCATCTAGTGCCATCACATATTCATCAGTTTGTGTGAACCAATATAATACTGTATCAGCTAGAAAGCTCTGTCTTGACACCTTTTTAGCTCAGCAGCAAAGTTTGACAGTTTGGTATTGTGACAGAACCGATTCTCATCTTTCAATGGGACACACTCTTGTCTGATGCAGTTCTATCTGTTAATACCAGGATTATACAACCCCATGGATTTACCCCAGCGGAAGTATTCCTGGGTTTTCAACCAAGGATTGGCACTCGATCCGTGACAGAAACCTTAATGGTCGAATGTTTAGTTGACAACCAGGTTGCGATCTCTACCGATTCAACAGTATGTCCACCTGCGGCCCGATCGCCAGTGGCGGCTGATAAGCTATCCTTATTACGCAAAATATGCCAGACCAGGAGATTCGACATCTCAAGGCCGATGACGGTGTGACCCTTGCGATGGCATTCAAAGTTACATGATACAGAAGATTACTTCAAACACTCAACTCTCCTCATACTCTAAGAGTATGAGGCCAATATCAAACGCAGCAGCACCTAACATATTTTTTTAGCACTCCTTCTCTCAAGTACAAGGTCTATGGCAATTGTGGTGGTTTCCCAAGTTGCTAAGTTCATAGAGTGATACTGGGAGTAAAAAAATGAAGAAGGCTCACAGAAGACAGAGTATGATGTTTTGGAAGCCCCAAGTCACAGAAGTCACCGGATAAGGGCAAACAAGTTCTCCATGGTTACAAGTCACATCAAGAATAAAAAAGTGTGGTAAGTTAGAGAAGACACCCTATGTTACTAGTTATAACTAAGGACTACTAGATGCTCATGGAATGAAGCAACAATCAAGACTGTTGATTGCCCAGTAGAATTTATGTGGATTATTCCCAAGAATACCCAGGAGATCCCATTTATTATTCTTGCTTCTTTCAATACTCACTCCCATCCACCTCCTCCCATGACTAAAACACCAAGGGAGATACAGAGCCAGATGCAAGATCTGATCCAAAAAATGGATAAACGATCATTAACTACTGGTAGGGCATCATGGCAAAGGGGTATATCATCTAAGTACTAATATATTGCTAGGTCGTTTTCTTTGAAGTAGTATTGTGCTTACAAACTTAGCAACTTGGGAAACCACAACAACAATTACCATAGACCTTATATTTGAGACTTCCAGCTACAAATATGGAGAACTTGTTTACCCTTATCCGGTGACTTCTCTGACTTGGGGCTTCCAAAACATCATACTCTGTCTTCTGTGAGCCTTCTTTATTCTTTTACTCCCAGTACCAATCTATCAAGTATGTCGTTCTCACAACCCGTTGTGGCAGCTCCAGTACTCCCACTCTTGCCTGCGAAAATACCGAAAATGTCTTCGGCTCAGGGCGAAGCCTCGTCAGGAGAATTCTCCGAGCTTGTACAATATGAACTCAAGAGAAAACACAAGCTCTGCTTCGCATGTGGCAGTAGCACGATAAAAAGGAGCTCACGTAATTGAAGGGAGCGATTCATCGGTAAGTGGCGAGTCTAAAGTATCCTTTGTTAACTATTTTATTGACAGCTTTTGTACGGAGTAGGTACCATTACTTCAACAGCGTGGTCTAATCGATTTTATTGGGCTCTGCCCATCATGCCATGTTATATTCGACAGAGCTAACGAACCTGGTTTTACTTTCTTTCCGATAGACACTCCATTCTTCATTGAGAAGGAGCTGGAGGGTCGACAAAAGAGGAAGCCTAATCAGGAGGCTGGCATCTTATCCTAGAGCTGCATACCCTCACCCCAGCCAATGCACCATTCTACCCGACTCTGATCCTTGCCCCGGCCGGGCTTCTGGATGCCTGGATCACCGAAATTCGCAACCATTTTGGTAGTATGCTGCGGCTGAAGCTCTTCCACTGGCCTGTCGGCTCATACAAGCGATGTGAGAAGGAAAGAGGTTAGTAAGAACAACCCAGAAGTTTCCAAGCCCAGAAACATCGATGCCCAGTTTACTGAAGGCGGCAGCAATTGGGTACCAGGGCCTGGGTGGACTGCAACAGGAATCATGCATCGATATGCTCCAGTATTTTTACCACAGATCCAGCCCGAAGATTTATAGCCTGGCAATAGACCAGCAGGCTTTCTGGACTGGAGGTAACCGGTTAGTGTGGATGCAGTTCCGGTGGCATGGAGTGGCGGTGTTAGAATAAACCGGGTGTGCAAAAAGAAATGAATATCCTATTTGACTCAGATGTCAACGCGGCGCGGAAATTCATTGCTGAATGGAGGCAGCGCGCTTACGACACCGCGAAGTTAGCAATCCGAGACTTCTTCTTGGAGGAGCGGGCCGTCTTTGGGGATGTCAATGGAGAACTGGGGGAACCCAGCTCTCAGCGATTGACAACAGGCCATTCCTTTTCTTCATGATCCGGGCTTTTGGGGAGCTGCTCGGGGATTGGAGAGGTCGTGGTATGCCGGCCATCTGGCAGAGACGTGGTTGCACAGCCCTATGGCTAAGCCCTCTGTCTGCTCAGGCGACAGGTCAAGTAGTAGAGACTGGGAGCCTGCCCTATACATAACAGATCGGTCATAGCCGCCCCAGCCAACAAGCATCCCGGCGGCCGCAGCAGCTTCGTTGCCTGTGCCTTCTGCGGACCATTATTAGCAGGAGCGGATGGCAGCGATTTTTCCTATGTGTCTATATTGTTTTTTTTTTTTGTATTTAGTCGTTAGCACGGTAAATTTTGAACGGGGGAGGGGATGTAGTGGGTGGGGTGCTTCGTGCCTGCAGATATATTCTCGCTGAGTGCCGCTCTGCTGAGAGAGAAGCAGGATACCGAGATAGCAGCTCTCTACCAGTACGCTGTCCGCACCGCCGATGGAAAAACAGCACACTACCCTATGATATGATGCCTTTGACCAGCATTGGACGAGAGCACGGAAGATCGCGACGGAAGCCCGAGGAATACAAGAAGAACCTTTCCCTTATAAATAAGCAATATCAGTCCACATCTTATTATACTTCATTTTCAACTGCGTCAGGGTTGTTCACACTTGTCCTTTGTATATCTCTATTCTATTGAATCTGCTCCCCTTGGTCTGCCGGGCTGTGTCTCTCTGAAAAGATATTATCACTGGTGGCTCCTTGACCGCGTCCGAGAATCTAGAGGTCTTCAGTTCCTTCCTCGCTTCTTGATAGTCCTGTTACGAGGAGAGTATTCACAATGATTACGGTTCCCCCCCCCCCCCTCCCCTTCTTCTTTTCTCTATTTCTTTACATTTAGCTAATCAAAGACATGCAGCTTAAGCGCCCAGGGCTGCTCCACGTGTACAATGGGATCAGTCTGACTGTAATCGCTCCAACTACTACCTATTTTCCAGACCCATGTTAAAGGGCCTGGGATGCACGGAAGATGAGTGAGCTCATCTAAGGACACTCACTCACTTATCATGTTCTTTAGAGAGTACAGTACAGATGTTACGGAACCCAAGTTAGATGCTTTTGGCAGCCCTAAGATTATTTATTGGCCAGGCACTCGCGTGGGGTATCGTTCATGCTCAGTTCAGAAGCAATTTCGCCCTTCCTTGCAAGACATTATTGCGGAGATATTATGTATGGAATTAGAGGGGAAAAAAAAAAGAAGTAATCAAGCAAAGGAATAGGAGGAGGAGGAGGAGGAGGAGGAGAGTGCTCGCAACGCTGCTGCTGTTCATCCTAGCCTCTGTGTCTATGTAATTAGGGTGATACTGGTGATAAGAGGATAGATACTCCATGACTCTACTCCGTAGGGTGATGCGTTTTAGAACTAACAAGGCATAAGAGACTCGTGATATCTGCTGTACTCCGGACGCTCAACAAAGCAAATTAACGACCTCGGACTAGAATATGCTATACAATCAACTCACTCTCCCGCTAGGGTTGGTTCACTATTAGGGTTCCTGCCTGTCTTGCCCTTTGGCCCTGTGTTCCATGATAGACAACAACAACAGATTGTACTACGATGAATATAATAATAATGCTTGCAATATATCAACTCGATCACCCTTCTCGCCGTTTCAACTGGGTAAAATGTTCGAAAGATTCCTGCGTAGAAGCTGTCCAAGCTCGCCATGGTCAACTCCAATCAAATCTGCCAGTGTGATGGCCTTTTCCGCCCACCGGCGACAATCTCCATCTGCGGAGGAGAGGAAAAAATCAACCGCAGTATTGAACGAAACGACTGCTAGCCATTGGATCTCTTCTTTTGGGTAGTGTGATTTCTTACTGGAAGGATCGCGGGCGAAGATTAGGGCTTGGTCGAGGACGGATTCCGCGAGTTCATACTCCTTCGCGTCGACGGAAAGGACAAAGAGACAGCGGAGGTACCGGGGGAGATTTTCATCGAAGTTTGACGTCGAAGTGTTCAGGAATGGCGAAGGCGAGGAATGAAAGGTGCGTATCATTTGCTGTTTGGAAGGATAATTTTAGCTAGCCGCTTAATACTATCGGAGGGACTGTTGTTGGCTTGCCTTGACAATTTGCGCTTGACATGATACCGGAGCTTCGGATCGGAGAATGCAATCGAGAAAGATGGAGCTGAGTTTGGCATCTACTATTGGCTTAGAGATTTCAATTATCCTTGTTACGTCTTCCCATTCGTGAAAGAAGACGGCGACTTCGAATGCAAGTGATAGGATAATGCGGTGTCTGTCTGTCCAGTCTTGTGAGTTTGCAGCTGGGTAAATGCCTTCTTTTTGACAATCAATGCAAGATTGGAATTGATTCATTGATTCGCGTGCTTCCTTGTAGTAATGCTCCTGTGCATTTTATATCAGAAATCAGCTTTTTTGTTTCCGGATGAGCTTGATGATCTGTGCCTTACCTTCCTACGAGGGATTTTGTCTGTCCGAGCTTCTGATATAAGAATAGTGGCTTTAAGAAAATAGCAAATAAGATAATGCTCCGATATGCCAGCATGTGCTTGCGCTGCTGTGTTCTTAAGCAAGTGCGTGAGCTGTAGGGCCATATTAGATTGAGATTGAGCGGGGCATGGAACGGTGAAGTCACCCTTATGGAAATATCTAGTAGATCAATTACCCTCTCTAGAGAACATAGCTTATACAAATCAAGGGCAATGCCGTAGCTTTCTCTAGAAAGCCAATGTAGGTCGAGAGAAGTCTGCTTGGATTGTGTGTGGTCGGTTGCTGCATCCAAAACTTTCTAAAGTTAGTACTCGTGAACCTGGAAGAACTATAAATTTAACTTACTAGTCCTGAATAAAGGAACTATGTGACACAACAAGGCCTCGTTCCCAGGTTCATTCTTTAGCTTCTTTCGGATGACAGATATCACACACTGCAAAATCTTCCAGATTTGTAACCGTTCAAAACCACTGCCATCCAAGGTTGCTACCAATTTTTGGACACTTTGAACAGCAAGATTCACTTTTTCGAGTCGAAGCGCATCCGCTATACATGACCAAATGTAGGTGGTATCCACGTCTGGCTTGCAGAGCAGCTCAAGGTAAACGGAAACTATTCAGTTAGATATTGCATAGAAAGAAAAAACGAAGAAAAAAGAATAGGTTGATATACCACGGGAGAAATCTTCTTCAGCCAGGGATAGTTTATACAATAAATACAGGGTGAGAGGGCATGACTTGAATTCCTCTGGAAATTTGTCAAAGACTCTCTGTGCTGTAGATGGGTTGTAATTTTCACAAGCACATAGAATTAGCTTCCTGTCATACAGTGAGCTGAGTATTTCATGTTCATATATATTCACCAACCGAAAGAATTTAGCCTTCGTGTCAGAATCCATTTGAAATGCTTTCTGACTGAGGACAAATTGACACCATTGCTCTGCAAGGGAAATAGATCCTTTTGACATTGCTAGATCCACATATTTCCAGATAAGCTGCGCTTCAGTTAGCACTTGGAATGAAAAAGATCCCATGGGTCATACAATCAAAGAGGCGTGGCTTGCCTCCTCGCTCAGTAGATTCTGAGCACCTTCTTCCAGCCAATTTACTTCATCTCTAATAATGTCTGGGCCTAGGTCCCCACGGGAAGTACTTGCCAGTGTCCACATCAGAGAAATGAAGATTCTTTCCAGCCACTGCTCTTTGGCACTGCTATCAGAGAGTTTCAGTCTGTCGAAAAGCTCTTTCAAGACTTCAATACAAAGTACTGGCCTACACACAAAGTCAATATCATAATGAGAAGGCGTCTGGATACGCACTTTGAATCTTCAATTTTTTTTATATAATGGTAAATTCTGTATCAGGCGTCAGATAAAGTTGACCTTTTCTTGGGGGGGGGGGGGGGGGGGGGGCGCTTGCATCTTTATAGTCTGATCATTAAGCTCCATTGTCTCCATAGTGTATTTGAGTCCTGTTTAAAGATAAATATTCTTCTATCAGAAAATAATTGAAGGCAACTTACTTTCGATATACTCTTGGCTCGCACAGTCTTCTCTGCTGAGGATCTCGAGGAAGATTGCAAGAGCTGGAAAGCAATCACTATACTCCTGTAATAAAGAGTTAGAGAGGGAAAATATTTTACTTGGCCGGACTAACAGCTTTTAGCATGTCGAGGGCTTTCCGGAGTTGGGTTTCAGAACCCCCAGTTTGCTGAAGATTCGACCGCACTGCCAGAATTAGCAATTTCGTGTCACTGGAAATCTAGAACCTCCTCACCATATGCATGCAGAGTCAGCATCCTCTCATCCTTCCAGCATTCGTCGACTTCTTGGCTTCCCTCATGAAATGATAATCCACAGACTGTCAACGCCCTGTCTAGCCAGGTTGCCGCGATATCACTCTGACCCGATGACAGCGCCACACTCCCAATCCTATAGCATATATCCGCCACGATCCTTCGTTGCTCTTTTGTAGTTATCTCCGGAATCTTCGAGTATAAGTGATTAGCTATATCAGGTCTCTCTTGTGACCAGGACTATATTATGCGTGTTAGCTAGGAAATGGTCTTTTCCTAGGACATTCTACATACTAGATATATCCGCAGCATGTAGTATTCCGTTGTAAACGACGCCAGTTTTAGTTTATCTGTATTCTCAGTTGACCTCTCAACCATGTCTAATCTCGTAGCAGTGGATTCCATCACTTTCTGGCTGACGTCGATCAGTTTGTTTTCTATTTCCCTTGTCAATATGTAAACTCCGCCGGGATTGCAGAATAGCAAAGACCAGAGAAAGGTAGCAGTACCCAGACAAAGCTTGATGATCCTGAATGAAAGCTCTAGAACCCGATAATTGCCTATAAATAAAGGAGATTATAAATTTGATATCCCATTCTAGGGTATGGGGACTGAGAGGATGCATACCTGGGCAAGTTCTTGGCGCAGCAGCCTCAAGCATCGCGTAGGCGAGAACTTTGGCTGCATTCTCTTTAGCAGATCACCAGGCTCCCATGGCCTGTGACATACCTTTGCAGACAATGATTCTCTGATCGAGGTTATCGACAGAGAGCATCCGTTGTACGCATGTGTTCCATAATTTCGTTCCTTCATTGTCTAATTTGGGACGAATAGACAGTAAAGTGTGGTCTGTGAATAATGGAAGGTGATCTAAATATTTCTGAAGTTTTTCGACTATATGGTTCGGCGGGGTTCGAAGGGCTGGGGAATCATCTTGATGGAGGTGGCTTTGCAAGTCCCTTGCGAGAGCTGGAGAATTGAATGATACATAGTTAGATAGGAGACTCTCTGCGGCTATGTTTTAATATCTCACCTAGCACAGCTTCTGTCTGCTCTTTGACAATGTGAGAGTGCTTAGTCGCCATGGTGTTGAGCTTAGTTTTAAACGCAAGTGTGTGAGATTCACAGCTTCAATTTCGTGTGGGATGGAAAGGCACATGATCACTATTCTAAAACTATACACAGAAATATATTCACAGTTAGAAGCCGCTAATATCCCAGCAGTACAATCAAACAAAAAAGGAGGAAAAAAAAAAAAAAAAAAAAACCGAAAGTACAGATTTCTTGTGGCTGTTTGATGGAGATATAATAATAATACAATTTTGAAAACTGCGCAACATCGAAAGTGGTATATAAGAAACCTAGATCAACAAGTCAAAGCTGCCTGTACAACCGATCAAAGAGAAGCCCCATATGGCATAAATAGAATAAGATCATACATGAGCGCCAGGTATTGAAAAAGCACTAAGGTAAGTTCATTTGCTTTTTCGTTGCGAGGGTAGAAAGTTTCCAATAATGAGGGACGGACTGGTAAATGGTTAGACCTGGAGCCCATACATTTGACTGTTCCTGAAGTACTCACATATTATGATTATCTCTCCGAATTGTAAATGAAAAGCAACACCGGATGCCGTCACTAGGTGTGTTGGCATTCGGATTCTTCAAGGTGCAGCTTGTGAGCATCGCCTTCTGGGTATTATCAAAAGCAATGGCCCCGAACTTCTCCCAGTAGCTCACAAGCTGATCTTCCACTATTATTTCATGAATAGCTAGCTTCCCCTAGTGTTTAACGGGGTGTTAGAAATACGTTATTTCAGTAGATGATCGAGGGGCGACTCACATCTCTGAGAACCTCAATGGGGACCCCGATCAACTCAGCCATCTCTTTGTTGCCTCGGAATATCTCACCAGTTCTCCTCCAGCAACAAGCGGGGATAGCCATACTGGCAAAAACACGGTCGTATTCCATCAAACTTCGCTCGAACCACATTTCCACAAGAATCAACTCAATGTCGGTCAGGCTTTGCATCCTCTCTCTGAACTTTGGTCGAAACTTGTCCAATTGTCGGAGAATCTTTTGTCGTGACGCCTGCTGCAAATGTTTCTCCATATATTGGTTCAATCGGGCGTAGCCCTTGACATAATTGAATGGTCGTAGAAGTCCAGCATCATATTTAGCCTTCAGAAGCTTGTTCATGCGCTCTTCGGGTGGGTCAGATCCTGAGGGGTCTGCGGCGGTCATATAATACGTTTCCCTTGCCTTATCGTTTCCGACTATAGCGCTCGGTCCTGAAACAAGTTCACCTTGCGATTGGTGACTTTGTGCCGGCTGTATCGTCTGAGATTGTTGAAGAAGCGTTGTATTCGGTCCCCCTAGCGCGTTCATGGAATTGATCAATGTTGGGTCGGAGTACATTCGCTGCATATCGTCGTTTTGAAACATGACGCCGTCGTCTAATAAACTGCTGCTGAGAAAGTCGCCAAGTAAGTTGTATTCATTCGTAACTTCGGGCGCATTGAACATGTAAGACGGGTGGAACGTGTGCATATCCTGAAACTGGCTTTGGCCGCCTAGCCAGTCATTATAGCCAAGCACTACACAACTACATCAGCAAGGTCCCCAGGAAAACAAAGACGTGGGGAAACATGAAGAAAGCTCACTCTGCTGAGAGGTGGGCCCAAGGTTTTGACCCGTTGCAGAGGCCAAAGGCCCCGGTTGTACGGCACCCACTGTGGAGGATGCAAGACCGATAGACCCATCGGCGAGGATTTGCTGGCCTGCAGCATCTTGGATATCGACATTTCTAGGCATCCCTTGAACATTCGAATACTCATTGTTCGAAGAACCCTCTTCGTCTGCGGCTGAATGTTCGTGTTCACTGCGCGACCGTTTAGAGGGCTCTCTCGGCTCGTCATGGCATAGGTGGCCGATATTGCGCTTTATACATCGAGTGCATGGCCGCTCCTTAATTTCCCCGGGTATGATTGTCAGCAACTGCTCGTATTCACCTCACCTCAAACACAACTTGCAATACGTTTCACAAAAGGCGTCAAATATGTAAAAATTCAGGGTAAGTCTTACCGAATCGCACGTCATATGCTGTGACACGTGAGCAAGTGGCCTGCTGTCAGCAAAGATATTCCAGGAAAAGAGCTTTGTTTGGGAGGGGTATAAATAATTGAAATGTATGTTTTCCTTTTTTTTTCCCCTCTCGCGATAAAAAGGAAGGAGGCGGGGCTATAGGATGAGGGGAGGGAGAGAGGGGGAAGAGAGAGAGAGAGAGAGAGTGTGTGTGTGTGTGTGTTGAAGAACTTCCCCCGCCGCAGGACATGGGCTCACCGATCGCCGACAGTAGACGCATGCTGCAAGCGTGGCACACAGGTTAGCAACGTGGTCCAGACGCCATATTGTAGAGATGAGATGTAGGGAACCGCTACTACAACGCCAATACAATGCACGGTATGAACAGGGTGTTGCTTACCATGATTGACCTTGCGACGTTTCTTCGGACTCGTGCGGGCCCCCACTGAAGTACTCTCAATCTTCGAGGGCGGCGAGCCTTGCGTCATCATGTCTTTCACGTTAGGATCGCTTTTGCTCCCTGTTGTCCCCTCGGGCATGGTGTTCAAAGACGATTGCTCTACCATCCCATTGCCCAAACGCTGGTCAGGGTTGGTACCTGTTTGCGCGGCGGTTTTCTCGGTCATGGATCGTTGAGCGCAAAAGCTGTTGCGCAGAGTCCGGCTCGCTGCTGTCGCTGTCGCTGAGGGATGGAACACAAAGAGAGGAAGTCGGATGGGGACCTGCAGGTACCGACTGAATTTCAAAGAAAGGGAGGAAGAGTAACCATCGATCAGGCGTGTGAATTAACACAGAGAAAACCAGGTACGGGGGAGGACATGCGACAGAATGAACGATCGATCGGCTCTCAGGCAGAAAAAGAGGTTCCCCCACTGAAGCCGAGCGGGACTTTGGTTGGCCGCCCATTCGGTAGTCATTTTCAATTCCCGACCTTCTCCGCATTGAGGAACGAATGCCATCAAGTATTGTGAACAGAGGGAGGCTGCCTGTGAAATCTTGACTGTGGTTTCACCTGTTTCAGCCTCGGGGATTCCCGAGGAATAGGTACAGGTAGCTACCCATTTTCTGGGCCTTTACTGCTTCTTGTTTTTATTCGCCCATGTGCAGCGAAAATACCTCGGTTGGCTCTACGATCTCTATCACCTAAGCGACGGTTTCGAGGGATTAAAGAGTTCTATGTTCGGTTTAAGTTTGGGATGCAGAGATGATGATACTCGCAGTAGCGGTCGCGAAAGGAGCGGTGCCGAATAATTTACTTTGACATATCTGCTCTAGATTCTGTACTCGACTCTTGAATATACATAGAGTATATCCCAAAAAATCGATGCGGAGCGTCGATTTGACGTTCTGACTTGACTTGTTTTATTCCAAAGCAAGGGTTTGTCGCGTTGCAGGGATTGCATTGCAGGAGCTTGAAACGCATCAGGTGCGCCCTGGAGTGCACGATCCCTGTGCACACAGTATTGTACACAACCGTTCACAGAGTATTTTCATCTCAGATCCAGCGCGTCCAACTGAGAATCGGATAAATACGCTCTTGGCTTTGAGATCTTGTGCGGCGAGAGATTCTCGCACAACCTCAGACAGGCAAAATTGGGCAAAAGCCTTTCCCCAACAAAGGTGCGCATTTTTCAGTCATCAGGCATAGTTGCTAGGCTCAACGCAGTTTGGGATCGTGTAATCGCGTCTTTTAGTCCAACGAGAGGGGTAGCGTTGTTTTGCATTGATTTCAAGTGATTGTTCAATTGCCTCAGTAGGGTGGAGACTTCCGGATCAGCCTCGAGCTAGGTTATCATGATAAGTTAACCATATTCGTACCGTTGGATTATGACACCTTACCTCGTCAAAACTGGACTGTGTATCCTTTGCGCTCATTAAAGTAAACCCAGCCGGACTTCCAACTCTATCAGGGGTGTCGTTGAGTTGCCGGAGGATGGGATGCTCCTGTAGCTTGTTAATGCCAATACGTATAACTCTCGGGTTCAGAATGGAACTTGCGTTCTTCATCTGCCTCTTTCGCTCCGTCTCGGCGCGTTTAGCGTTTTTCTCCATTTCGTGCAACTCCTTGCTTTCCCTTGCAAGCAATGCTTCTTCCTTGGCAATCTCGTTCTTCAAAATGTCAATGCTATCCATGGCTGTCGAAAGGGATAACTCTAGCGCAGACTGTGCTCCACGTTAGTTTGCGGATTTCCATTCCATTGAGTGCCCCTACATGTTCCTTTAGCGCAGCTTCGTACTCGAAAACGGAGTCCTTCGTCAACGGAGGAAAAGGCATCCTGGGTAAGCGTTTCCCGAGGCTTTAATTTCCCAGTTAGATATTAGAAGTCTATCCAGACGACCACAGGTCGGATTGAAGGACATACTTTTTCACGACAGCTTGAACCGCAGCTTGCGCTTCGTAGCGTTTGCGCTCATTTTGTTGTCGGACTATGACCGGACGCTCAAGGGCTCGAAATAGATCGCGTACTTTATCTTGAACCGGTTCAGGGAGTGTAGACCATTTCGATTTGATAGTTCGCTCTGATATATGTCGGACCTGCGGCTTCAGATAAGTGTAACGCTTCTTGGATGCGGTGTTTTGGTCTTCGCCCTGGGCATCATTTGAGCGCTTTCGTTTGGGCGGCATCGCAAGGGATCCAATTACTGAAAATAGCTCTTGGTGCGATGAATATCGTAAAGGATGAGAAAAGAATGGATCGAGAAAACAGTGTGTGTATGTGTGTCGGGTAAAAGATCTGGAGCGTCTGATTGTTGATATGTTTCCCCCCTCTCGGTGACGCGCCAAGGCTGCAGTCTTAAGCACGCACGCCTCTGGTGAACCACTAGGCCCGTTTTGGAAGTATACGGGGAAATACACCGCTTTTCCACCAGACCCAATCACACTAGACCGGTTTAGTCAAATCAACACCACAACCCAAAAGGTTCGTACGAGTACGAGTACGAGTCGTTCAACTAGTCTCGATCCTGACTTTCACATGCTATCTTTGAATTGATCATCAAGCTATCATGGGAATGATGTCATGGTATAGCTATCATCTACATCCTGCTATCTACCAAACATTATTTTGTACATAAAAAGCACGGAGGCAATACTGTGATGGGACAGCAGAAAAAATAGTAGTCGGCCGGTTATCAGATCAGGTTTCATCAAGCCAGAAGACAACGCCTGCACAACTGCAGTTCCGCTAGACCGCTAAACCGCTTTGATGTAAAAGAAACTAGACAAAGGGGGGGGGAATATTTGGTGTAAGGAGAATGAAATATAAATGTCGTCGTCACGTTAAAAAAGGCTTTTCATCATGGCATCACTAAGCCATTCATGGTTTTCAGCTCTGCAAGTTGTGCTTTTAAGAGTTCATTACCCTGTAATATATCCTCCAGCCAGTCAGCAGCTTGAGTAAGCATCGCACTCTTGCTAAATCCGCCACCTTTCAGCCCCGGTACGAGTGTGCACAAGTCGTCAAATCCCTGTCTGATAAGGTTTCTTCGCTTTTGCTCCGAGAGAATATGGTTGCTCCTCTTTTGCTCTTCCGATAAATTTTCTCGTGGAGGCTTTGCGCTCTGTGAAGCTCTTGACTTTCGAATTCCATCGGCTGACAATCGTCTTGACGCACCCTTTGATCGTTTTGACCGCTGTATTGAACTATCTCCATCCGAGTTTTCTTCATTTTCCTCCTTGATTGATGTTCGCTGCTTCTTCTTTGGGTGTGATAGACCTTCTACCCTATCGCTGTAATCTGTCTGCAGACCGTTGGTGTGGCTCACAGGTCGAGACTCTACCCACGGACCATGGCGGCTATGCATTAGACGATCTGGGGTAGGTGCTCGAGTATTCGCAGCGCTGCTTTGCGGTTCAAGACATTCCAAATTATCCAACAGCTCCTTTGTTCGTTGTTCTTCGTCCGGCTGGTCCGGAGGCGCCACGTATCCCTGGTCCATAAAGCTAGCATCCGAGCCCCAGTGAAGCGGCCGTCCTTTTGTAGACGCCTGCTGTTCTGGCGATATTGGTTCGTGAACATCGAAAAACATCCTGGATGTATGGAACCCAACGGGTACATGTACATGGGTGCGGGAGGCAGTACTAGCGCGCCTGAGGGGTAAATGGCCGTTTGGTTGCCGGTTCTTGCCGCTTCCCTTGATTAAGGGGAAATCCATATTGGAGAATGTGGAAAGTGGTTGGTTCGCAAACGGAGCGCTGGTTTCTGAACCGTTAATTCCATTCTGATAGAGCATGGACGCGGCGGCGACCACATCAGAGGTTGAGCTCGAATGCTCTGGAAGAGCTCCGATGGGTTTTTCGAGAGCGCGATGTGTGAGCGGTGGCTGCGGAAGAGACGTTGTGGAGCCTTCGAAGGTTGGAGGGAGTTCAGCCGACCAGTCGAAGGTAGCGGGATTTAGAGATTTATTCTGGTCATTTGGGGGGCTCATAAGCCAGAAATCGTTGGCAAAGGGATTCGAGCTGATTGAAATAAAGAAATTATCGAGCATGTTAGATTCATTATCGTCGAGAAGCGCTGGTCCCAGGGGTGATGCCGGCGCGGGCTCATAGGGTGTGTCCAAAGGAAAGGAATCTGCGACCAACCCAATTAGAAATCATTCACTCCGTCGCTTTCAGTACAGAAAACCTACAGCCAAACGGGGCCGTTGAACCGCTATCGCGCCCATTTCGGACCTCAGTTCCATTCGTGTTCATGTTCATTATGAAATCGTAGCAAGAGAGGGGAAGGGCGAATGAGGATTTCGGGGTATCTGAAGGCAGTTTCAGCAGCATTTACTACTCGGAACCGCGAGCAGCGCCAATAAAGACGATGTGAACATGCCTCGACTGGCAATAGGTTTGCAGTCTGACTCCGTTGTGCGCAGCGATATAAAAAAGAGAATGGAAACCTTTTTAGCTGTACAGAAGAGGTCGACGTCGACCGTTGGACTGTGCGCAAAGATCACTTTTTTCAGTATCAAAAAGCAGCGAAAAGAAAGGGGAAGAGGATAGGCGGGAAGGTTCAGGAGGAGTTATAACAGGCAACCAAATCCACCTAAAGAAAGGTACATCCCCCGCATTGAATCTGAAAAGCGAAAAGATGACAATTGGGGCAGAGGGGAATAGTAAGAAGGATAATGTGTAGTAGGCGTAGACTTGGTGGTGGAGGAGAGTCGAAGAGGAACATTTGGCTTTCTGTCGGTCCTCGATACTATTATCACATGCAAAAAAATCCGCCTGCCAGTGTCGCGTGACGTAACAACAAATACCAAAAATACAACCCTGGACGGAGCCAAATAGGTGTAAAATAGGCCCTGATCCAGTACTGGTTTGTTCTGGATACACTCGGGCAAACTTCCCCATTGGAATAAACCGTCGTCACCCAAAAACAGAATCCCTTGCGAGGTCTTCTTCTTCTTCTTCTTCTTCTTCTTCTTCTCCTCCTTCATCCATTCCTTCTTTACCATTGATCGCAATTTTATGTATCCTGCTTAACACTCCTATGAACAGATTCACTTTTTCCCCCTTAGCTATCCTTCCTTTCTTCTTTGGAATCGTTTTCTAAGGCTTTCCGTGGCACGACGGTCTGTTAATCAAATGCGAGACTTGTCTCTGTCTCTGCCCCACTGCTCCCTGTCTACTACTTGCCCCGGCTTTTGATTGGGGACTCGTGCGTCTGGGACAATTACTTGCAGTCCGGAGGCGTTTACTCCTGTTCTTGTTGTTGGTTGTTACCCCTAATCCAGTTCGACATTGAAGATTGCCTAGATCGCTATCAACGGCTGCCCGCTCCTAATCATCTCCTCCCTCCGGGACCGAGGCGACGTTGGCTCTGTGTTGCACGGCAGCAGCAGAAGATCCTACTGCAGGATCCCCCTACTTGGCGACGGCGTAATAGTGCTCACTGCCCACTACAGCTAGCTTCCCGAGTCTGTAATAATGATGATGCCTTTCTTCGGTTAAAACACAGCAACCACTTCCCACGGAACCTACGTGATCCGCCAATAAATTGTTCTGATTGAATTAGCCTGCCGATATCATCTCGAAAATCTGGGGCTCTCTGCGCCTCGGCCTAGTATAGTGATTGGCCTTTTGAAACGATGGTAAAGCGAATCTCGAGTCTGACCCCAATATATAGGTGGTAGTATTTCTCCCCATTACTTTCAAATTCACGACCTGGTCATGATCTAAGACGCCGCCTTTGTGCACAATGGATTCCGCTGTACTCTCTCGCAGGCGTCAGCAGACAGGCCAATTACTACAACCGTAAGTACTACCTGCTCTGATGGTTGTGTTCCTCGTATGTGGCCTAGAGCGGGTGCAAGCATAAATTCTTTTCTTTTCTTTTCTTTTCTTTTCCTTTTTTTTTTTCAGTCGGGACGTTGTTGATTGGTTTGTATTATAGCATACTGCGAGCATATGCCGTTGGATACCTGTCATCAACAACACCGAAAGTCATATCCAGTCTACGACGGATATGGAAAAGTAATGATTTGAGCTATAGGCAAATACTCGACAAGGTATGGTTTTCCCAATAGTTACTGTCGCCCTGATTGGCTATGACTCTCGAATGTCCCAATCGACGAAGAGCCACTATTTATTCACACCGTTGGCTTCAGCTACCCTCGCCAAGTCGAGTCTGGCGTGGCAAGAGGGGAAAAACCAGATGCTTACATGGACTTGAACAGTTATTCCAAGCGCTGACAGGCTCAATACGCCTGGAAAGTTTCCCGACATTCTGTGCCTCTCTTGTTGGAGGCTCTACTCTTCTGCCTGTGCTGTTTTTGAGGTCCTGTGATCATATTGGTCGTAGATTCGGCTCTAAATCCAAGTTTTGGAAATCCAAGGAGGCTGTTCAATTGGTTCGGTTTGTTACTTCACTGGCGTCTGCTTGGCTTAGTTTCCGGTTGTTGAATCGGAAGCCTATTACCTTGGAGAAAGTAAACCAGGAGCTCCCGAATGGAGATGCCCAAACATTTATTCACAAGCAACAAGGGGGCACCGCAGGTCTACATGATCGTCCAGAATTTGCCGGTAGAACAATGGATCTCACCCTTTTTACCCTCATAAGAGCAGTTGATTCGCTGGTCTGCCTCTCCTGGGAAAGAGGTCGGAAATCGCGAGGAGCTGATCCTCGTTGGGCCTGGGCCAACTCCATTGCACCCAGACTTGCAGACTCCGCTCTTTTTGCTGTTAGTTCGGCAATAGTTATGTGGGCGTGGTTTTATCTCCCGGAGAGGTTGCCAAAATCATATCGCAAATGGATCGAACAGGTAGCGAAGGTGGATAACCGCTTGATCGAAGCTCTTCGTCGTGTTAGGAGAGGCGTCTTTGTGTATGGAAAGGATACAGGCCAGGCGCCTCTGCTCGAGGGCATGTGCAAGGACTTTGGCTGGCCTATAGAATGGGGAGACCCTTCTAAAACGATTCCGATTCCGTGTGAAATGGTGCATATGGGCTGTGGCCCTAGTTGTGAAAAGCACGCGATATCTCGATTCGCCCAAACCTTTGGATTTGCCTGTGCAACCTACATCCCACTACAAATGGCCTTCCGGCTCCGATCAATGAATTCGCTGGAGTCGTTCCGCCGGGCTGTGTCCGATGCCTTGCGATCCTCTTCGTTCCTTGCCTCGTTTGTGACCTTATTCTATTACTCCGTCTGCCTCTCTCGGACGAGAGTGGGCCCAAAGATATTCGACAAGGAGACGGTAACCCCGTTAATGTGGGATTCTGGATTATGTGTTGGTGCTGGGTGCGTTATGTGCGGGTGGAGCATACTTGTTGAACATACACGAAAGCGACAAGAAATTGCATTGTTTGTGGCACCCAGGGCTGCTGCAACTGTGTTACCCAGGTTTTATGACAAAAAGGTACGTGTGACGAACTCTAATTCCACCTGTCTTGCTCAAGTTAGGGATTTTTATACTGCCCCAACTCTTTCATTGCACATCTTTCCTTTCTCTCATACTTGCAATATATGCACATTTAAGGCTTCTGTGATCTAATAACCTTTTATTTAGTATCATTATCGAGAGCGTGCTGTTTTTGCTATTAGTGCAGCAATACTTCTTACCTGCTTCCACGAGCGCCCTGGCATGGTTCGTGGGGTCTTTGGTAGAATTGGGCGGAGCATTCTAACCTGATTCTCTACTTCATATTCTTCCCTCTTGGATGTATTATTATTAGATTTTCCCTTGTTCATGGTGCTCTGCTGGGCAATCCACCGAAGTTGAATCCGGGGGGGTGTTATTATTATACAAGAAATATATAATAATATGTCTGTATGTTGTTGACTGAATTTATTGAACCACTTTGGCAAGTTTCAAAACGGATGCTTATTTTACCACACGCCATTTCACATCTATTTCCATCTTGTAGTGAGTAAATATATATATATATAGTAGTATTTGCACAGTCTACAAATGTATAGTGGCGTGGTGCTCTTATCGATAAGGCCGCCAAGGTCAGGTCACGTGCATCCAAATCCCTTGTCGACTGTAGGATCGAGACGTTTCCTTTCCCCGTTGATATCCGTCGAAACACCGAATTAATCGCCATGTTCTCTCGCCTGACACCTTTATGGAGTCGGGGGTTTCCCCCAGGAGCTGGTACTCCCCGTCTCACAGACACAACTACCAGATGCATGAATGCGGGGAGGAGATATTTTACCCACAATTCACAGCTCCGTCAACAGGCATCCTCACCATTCAATACGCCGCAATCGCAAAAACGAAATGCGTCTACAATGTAATCCCCCCCGATACCTTTGCGGTTGATTCATTTTTCTCATTTTCAACAGGTACTATGCAATTAGCATAGTCCTCGGAACAGTCTCCCTCGCCTACGGTTCCGTCCCGCTATATAAAATGGTCAGTTTTCCAGACCCTTGTTGTTTGATCCATTGCTGACGACGACAACGTTGCAAGATCTGCCAACAAACCGGATGGGGTGGACAACCCGTTCTCACGCACCGCACAGGCGACGGCGACACCTCAGCACGCGTAATACCTGTTACCGATTCTCGTCGGCTGCGGATTACGTTCAACGGCTCTGTATCAGATGTACTACCTTGGAAATTCACACCACAGCAGCGGGAGGTCCGCGTCTTACCCGGAGAAACTGCGCTCGCGTTCTACACAGCCACGAACCATGGTCCGGCGGATATTATCGGTATTGCGACCTACAGCGTTACACCCGGCCAGGTCGCTCCTTACTTTAGCAAGATCCAGTGCTTCTGCTTCGAGGAGCAGAAACTCAATGCGGGGGAATCGGTGGACATGCCGGTTTTCTTCTTCATTGATCCGGATTTTGTCACGGATCCGGCGATGAAGGGTATTGATACGATTACTCTTTCGTATACATTTTTCAGTATGTACCCACCGCTCCCCTCAGCATGGCATGGTGCTTAACTCGCTACCCATGGATTCAAATGGATGGTTGAATCGGATATGGGGTTGGGTTTGAAACATTCCCCGCTAATCTGACTGAACAGAAGCACGATATGATGACAACGGGGTGCTCAAACCTATTCCGACGAACTAGCTGCAGTGAAATCAAGTTTCTACGTCTTGGCTGCCTCGACAGGTTACGCTTGACTCGGACGGGGTTTACTCGAGAAACCCTTTTTTACTACTCCAAACTCTGTAGGAGCGAGAGATCTCCTGCCCAAGACTAACGAGCCTGGGGCTTGCTTACTTGGAGTGTATTGGGAACCAACCCCTGCATTTTTATGTGCCATCTCAAAGCGATTTCGTTTCAATGTAACATATCTCCTCCTCTCCCTCCTCCTCTCCAAACACAAAATGCATGAATGTACCACAGCGACTAGGATCTGGCGTTTTGGAAATATATTTGTATTATAGTTTATGTACATAATACTGACTTTGTACGTTAGAGAAACTATTTGTCGGATAATTTTAGTGCAAACCCCTTATAAAATTAAGCCAGATACCAATTGTTGAAAGCTATTCATAACTACAGAGAGAGAGAGAAATAGGGAGCTCCTTGAAACGTTTTGTTCTGGGTAAACCATTATAAAAAACCTCGCTGTAGTCCAAAGATGATGTGAGACAGGAATAAGAGGTTTGAGTTGTCTCCGTAAGACAAATCCGATATAACTAGTTAACTAACTACCCTGTTACATGGCTTCTGGGTCAGGCACGAGGCAGTGGCATAGTTTGAAGAAGTTCCTTGGTCCATGCGGCAGCCGTGGCCATGGCGCCTGCTTTCCATACGGGACTATGATGTGTGTCACAATAGCCCTCGATCCCTCTGACAACAAGCAAAGGAAAGCTGGCGCGGAGCTCCGAACGATTAGTCTCGAAACAGAGTATATTGTAAGCTTTGCCTAGTTCGTCTCTTTTGTGCGGGTCGCGCAAGACCTGAGCACAGGACGCAATAGAGCCGAAATGGACGACCGGATCCTCGCTGGGTCTCTCTGCGCGGTTTAGTGTACGAGTGAGATCACACTGCGCGCAGCTTTGACCTTGGCAGTCATACTCCGCCTCGAACATGAAGTCCGTGCGACTCCAAGCGTATCGGAAACGCTCCTGCAGAGCCGGGTACTTAGGGAGCGTCTCGTCGAGGATTGCGAGGATCCGCCTAAATCCCAAGATACATTCTGCTTCCAAGGCCGCGATGGCGGTGGCGATGGCGGTGGGTAATCTGACGACGGATGTCTTTTTTGGATCCGTGGCATGGTTATCGAAGTCGAAATGCAGGTGGCTGGCTGTTCCGTGGGATCTAGACATTCCCACGACCACATCCCGACGGCGGATATCGTTTTTGGCCGAGGGCACACCTCCGCCAACGCCGACCATGATCCCAACCCGGATTGATGGGAAACTCTGAAACATGCGCATGACGGCTGCTGCGGCGCCTTCGCCATCGAGGTAACCCGTGTGCAGACACAATATGAGGACTTTGTGGTCTGCGATGAGCCCGAGCTCGTAGGTGTTGTCGTCTTCTAGACTGGGTCCGGTGATCCTCCCTTGGCTCACATCTATCATGGCTTTCAGAACTGCTAGGTCAAATGGACTCTCACAAATCAAGGCGATCAGATGCTCAGTATCGCTGTTAAAGCTGTTTGTTGTCCTTGCTTCTTGTTCACTTGCGTGCAGAACATCCGATGCAAGAACGAGAACCCTCGAAGAGACTAGTTTCATATCTTCGGTGAGTTGGGACTCATTAGACTCTGAGTCGGGGCCTAGTGTCTCGATAATCACTTGCTCGACGGAATCGTCAATAGAACTGAGGTCGTCCGAGGTAGACGAGCTAGCATAAGAGCGAAATGACAGGGGGCCAGTTGTGGGGGTTTGGCTGGGAGACAGCGAGCCTCCTAGATGGGACTCGAGGCCGTCGCTCTCAAACGATTCCCGCTTGGTTAGGGGAAAGTCGATGCGCTGTTGATTTTCGAATGTAAGCCTGGGTGCTGTTGTTGCGGATTGACTGAAGCAGTTGACTACGATAGCCATCGAGTTTTCCAGTGAAACTTGCAGTATACTATGCTATATTTAACAACTGAAGGCATCGGATCTTAACAAGAGTTAACTCACTAGTTATTCTGAGCATCATTGGACGCATTCTTTGCATGAAGGTTGAGCAATATCAATATTGTATCCAGAATTCGATGCTGTGCTCGCAACGCTCCTCGATAGAATAGAAGCTTTTCCTTGTGACTAAATACCCACTGGATTCTAGCACCAAGTCTCCGCAACTTTGAAGGGCCGTCCTTTGACGTGGTAACAAGGAGCGACTTGAGGTTGTCTTGTAACCGATTTAACGGAGCGAGAACCCGATCACAAAGATTGAGGACATCCTCGATCAAATCAAACTCCCCCAGAGAAGCAATCGCGGGCTCCAATAACACACTCCTGACTTTCTCCAACAGCCTAGAGAACGCCTGGATCTCTTGGGCGTATATGCGCACTTCTTGTCCAGCCGAGCCGATTCTGTCGGCGATTTGGTAGAGCCCTTTAGCAACTACAAAGCCGATGGCGGCGATTCCAATAACAGCAGAAGATACACTCAGAGGGTCAGCCATTCTGTGCCTTCTTTTCTATGGATTTGGAAGATGGATTCGAGATCAAGAGGATGCTTACCATGGGAGATATTTCTAATCTCGGACGAGGCTATGCTGCGACGAGGCTGAAAAAACGCCTCCGCGGTTGCTCGACGAATAACATCACCACCTAGTATATTCGCATCCTCGGGCTTGTTAATATATTATGAGACTGAGACTGAGGGCTTGCTTACCTGATGCTGATGCTTTGTTTTTTCTAGGACGGTAGTCTCTTTAGTATTGAGGTAAATAGAAGAATGCATACATATGAGGTGAGATGATGAGATATTCTTTGATATCATATCACATGTATGATCTTAGTCTATGGTTGCTGGTTTATACTCTCCTTAGTGCGATATATTGAGCGATATATTGAGGTATATGGCTATTCAATAGGATATATATATAGAGAGAGAGAGAGAGAGAGTACCCAGGCAACCAACCCATCTTATCGATAAGCACATACCATATACATAAACCCCCCACCAACCAATTCTTCCCAGGGATACCAAATAATTTTCCTTTTACTTACTTTCTTCCCCCCTTCCTTGCTTCAGATCCTCGTCATTTCACAACACAATGCCACATCAACAAGACATCTATTCAGTAACCGCGACGAACCACCTCCGCTTTGACCCCTGGAACAGCTCGTCGACGGGGCACCAAGTCTCCGACACCACCACCCCGGGCACTGAATGGCGACGCACAAGGGAGGCAAAGCTCGCTCAGCAGTTGCGCACAGGTGATTGTACGGTAGATCCCTCCTCCGCCGCCTCCTCCGCCTCCTCCTCCTCCTTATATACAAACACAACCCGGGGCAAACAGAAGACAACACAGCCGCATGGACAAGGGGAGGAGGGGCAGTGGGTGTGGGGATGTACAGCCGCGCGAACAGAGCCCGACCCGCGACAACGGGATATAAGGAGTATGATGATGCGCGTGAAGAAGGGGGCTTCATCAACTACCGTACCCCCGAGCCCGAACCAGCGCGAGATACAGGGACGGAAAAAACCGGTGGATGTTGGGGACAGCGGGGCGGTTGGGAAATCGAGGCCAGAGCATGATGATGATGATGATGATGCAGAGGAGAAGTGGAAGAAGGGCTCCGGGTTGGAATCGGATATTCTACATGGCGCAACGGTCTACATTAATGGACGCACTGCGCCTCTTGTCTCAGATCATAAGTTGCGGGGGTTGCTGGTGGCGCATGGCGCAACGCTTTCGCTGGCGTTGTCGCGGAGGGTGTCGCATGTTATCATTGGGAAGCCGAACGCGGGCCCTGGGGGGGCCGGGGCCGGTGGTGGATTGGCGGCGGGGAAGATACAGAAGGAGATTCAGAGAGGAGGGTGGAGGGGGATTAAGATTGTCGGGGTTGAATGGTATGTCGATTGCTTGCTTGCTTGCTTGCTGTCGGTTTTTTGTTATGTTTTACATTTACGTGGAGATACTAACGTATAGTGCAGGGTTTTGGAAAGTATTAAAGCTGGGAAACGACTCCCTGAGACAAGATTTGCTATTAATCTGTCTAACCAGCGGAGTGTTCTGGCCTTCATGTAATAACATTCATGCATATTCTCATGCTTATGTCGTTAAGATTAATTTTATGATATCCTCATGTCACATTATATACATACATACATTATCATTGTCATTTCATATCCTGTTGCATCACTGTGCTAGAGAAATGCCTGTCGCTGCCCCCGCGCGCTCTCCCCACTGCCACTGGACTGGTGTCGTCGCCACCCACTCTCTCTTCGGAGCACCGACAAAGGCGCCTCGGAGCTGCTGTCCGATCCGCGACTTAGGGGGTGGTCGTCGTTGCGGGAATCATCCAAGGACGTCTCATCCGGTAATGGCGGCAGGGGGTTCACTCGGAGCCGCGAAGAGTACATTGGTTCACCCGAATACAGGCCACGTCCGGATGGCAGATGGTCGGATCGGTAATCCTCGTCTTCTTCACTGTCCTGCGAGTTAATCCGCTCCATTTTCTCGTTCACGTATTCCGTCGCTGTGTCTCCATGTACAAGCCCAAGTCGCTCCTCTTCTGTAGTATTGTTAGGGCCGTGGCTTCGTCGCAGAATTCCATGAGCAGCACGGGGACTACGAGGAGCTGACAGCTGACTAGGTGACTTGGAACGGTTGAAGATTGTGTGGAAGGAGAATTGGCGTCGAGCACCATGGAGCGGAGGTTCTGGGGGGTCGAGCCCGGATTGGTCTTCATCCGCCCAAGAAACATTGCGGGATGTTTGATCGCCTGGGCCAGGTTGGAGAGTTGCCCCCTGATAACTGGTATCGACAGTTTTGCGATTCGAGTGTATAGTTTCAAGTGACATCGACTGCGGAGCTGTGTCATGATCGTCATGGATTGGTGTCCATGGTGAATGAACTAAAGCGGATACCTGTGATCGCACCCCAGTCATCAATGAATGCCCACCCTGATTTGCCTCGGGCCTATCCGACCAATCTTCGGGGAACCGAGACATTCCCAAGGGAGGAAGAGGGCTCTTAACGGAGGGCGTACGTGATCGCCCCGTAGTTGGTCCCTCACCAATAACGGTCTTGCGCCGGCGCAAGCCGTCCCATTCGATGATTTCGTTTTCAGCAGGTGGCTTGAGGTTATCCTCATATCGATCTCGGAAATAGCGACGCGCTTCTTCAGCCTCAAGATTACGGCGTGGAGTGGATAAGCGGCGGATAATCGCAGCTGCGCCACGAATGGCATCGGCCTTTGGTTCCGACTCGGGTTCCTCCTGCGTGGCAACCTCACGAATCTGGTCAAGATCTCCCTTGAAGATAGCGGCATCCGGAACGTCTTTTGCAGACTTAGAGAGCTGTAGCAACACAACGCCCGAACAGATCTGCAGAAAGCCCAAGATGACTGTAGTAATTTCCATAGCAGTACCCTTGAAGCCGCGGAACAGAATGGCCGAGGTAACGATAGTGGCGCTCGTAAACAAGACGTAGTAGGTTGGGGTGACGAGTGCGGCATTGAAGAGATTTAATGCTTTCTGCTTTCATTAGTATGGAAATATGACGGATCAACGGGGGACGAGAACCACAACCCACATTCAGATAGATAATCTCGGTCAACAAGGTTGCAATCACAAACACCAGCAACACATACAAGAACCATTGATTAAACTGGGCCTCGCCGTTAATCTGAGCTATTATAGCTGCTCCCAGGCCTTGGGTAGCCACCACACTTAATCCTCCGACCAAGCTGCAAATGCTGATGTAGACAAACATGCTCTTTTTCCCCCACCGCGGCCCTGCATACAACGCTGTGATGGCGGAACCAAGGATGACAACGCCGCCATACGACAAAAACCCAGGCGCAATTACATATTCCTTCATTTCCTGGATATCTGCAACAGACGACTGCTGTGGCGCATTGAGCGCAATGACCACAGACCCCAGAATACAGGTGAAACACCCAACCTTACCCACAAAACTCAACCTTTCCTTGAGGAAGATCGCTGACAAAACGGTCGTGATAACAACGGAAAGTGCACCGAGGGGCGTCACCAAGATGGCGTCAACAAAGGCGTAGGCCACAAAGTTACAGATCTCGCCAATAATCATCAATGTCATTCCCGCCCACCACCACAAGTTCTTGAGATAGCCGTACCCCTCGCCTGCTTCCTCATTGTACTTCACATTTGCCCTAAGGAGACCAACTTTCTTCAGCACGAAAGAGACCCCGATAAAGAGACCTGAGGCGACAGCCAAAGAAATCCCTATGGCTTTATAGGACGCTGGGCGCTCGGTAGTTGAGCTGACCGAGGAACGAGCAATGAGATCCATGGCACTGCCCGCAGTATCATCGATCGTCGGAATATGTATAAAGAATGAAATATTAGGGCGATGCCGGGAAAGGATAATGGATGAGGCGAAGATTTATACGTGGTTCTAGGCCATGAGATCGATCGGATGAAACAAGAATGCGGAGGACAGCGGTCGATAGGCGGTTAGGAATGTGGGCGGATTGGATCTCAGTGATTCAGGAACGTAGACCAAAAACGCACAAGCGAGGCTTGAGAGCGGTTACAGACTGAATGGATAGGGAGGAAGAAAGATGGAAAAAAAAGAAAAAGACAACGAAGATGTCAGCAGTAAGAGGGAAGAAAAAGGGTCAGAAGATGATGATGAAGACGGTGGAGCTAAACGAGACGGTGATGGCTCTTCAAAAGAAGAGGAGGCTGGGGGACCCACCACTAAGCCTCTCTATCTGCTTTTCTTGCTCCAGTATGGTCTTTTGATATTAAATGCCATATTAGTGTCCTGTGCCGTGTATCTTACGAGGTACGTAGTCTACTCCGTAAAGCAGATTAAATCGAAACTTCCCACTTAGCGAGCCGTGGAAGATGAGTGGAAAGTTCCAAAAAAAGATTGTCTAGAACCCAGTGCGGAATATGTTTCTCCTTCGCTACCAACTACAATAGTATCTGACTCGGTACATAGTAGATTTCCTGTCTATTTATTGACACTTGGCTGATCCTGTTCTTCTCTAGCTGCAGCTGAAAGCCTGAAAGGTCTTGTGACTCTTGATCCTTGACATCGTTGTTGACTTGGATCACCCCATCTTATGTGGGAGTACGATCAACCCTACCCTAGCCAGCCCTCATCAAAGATTCTCATCGTACCTGGAAGCATCTAGCAGTGCCTCATGTTGCGCGCAGGCCCTAGAAAGCCAGATTAATACCGTCTTCGGTTAGTTGCAGGATTTTCCGGTAAATACAATCGTTGACGGAGCAACGATTCAGGGGAGGTGCCATGTCGGTTGAGAAGATGAAATGCTGCATTTGAGATTATGAGGCAGTGTACGTATACTCAATACTCAAGAGGAAAAGTCTGTCTGTACGGTGTATTTTGTAGAGGAATAGAATCTATGTACGTATCGAGTCCCACTCTACTATTATTAGAAAGAGGGTCTCTAGGTAGCCGCATAACAGGTTATGCATACACTATTAGTCATCCACTTCATAAATCTTCAATTAAACTCGCGTGTCACGGGTCGACGCGTCTCTCTGGAGATTTCCATCCAATGCACCTGAACAACCCTTGAGCTCTAGGATCAAAATTTGAAGGGAAAATGGCGCTTCTTGTCGATAAGCTACGGCCACGATCCCTTGATACCCTCTCATACCACCCTGACCTTTCCGCACGATTAAAGTCGTTGGTAAGAAAGGCTAAGCTCTTGCATAGCGAATGCGTTCTAACAGTGCTCTTCTCTACATCTAGGCTCAAAGCCACGATTTTCCGCATCTCCTCGTGTATGGTCCATCCGGTGCAGGCAAGAAGACGCGCACAATAGCAACACTGAAGGAATTGTATGGGCCTGGAGTGGAGAAAATCAAGATTGATAATCGGGTCTTCCAAACAACCAGCAACCGCAAGCTTGAGTTCAACATTGTGTCTTCCGTTTATCATCTCGAGATCACACCCTCAGATGTCGGAACGTATGATCGCGTTGTTGTTCAAGAGTTGCTGAAGGAGATTGCACAAACCCAGCAGGTTGATCTTTCTGCGAAGCAGCGGTTCAAAGTTGTCGTTATCAACGAGGCAGACCATTTAACTCGCGATGCACAAGCCGCTCTCAGACGGACCATGGAGAAGTACAGCCCCAACCTGAGATTGATTCTCTTGGCCAACAGTACCTCGAATATCATTGCTCCCATCCGCTCCCGGACCCTGCTGGTCAGGGTTGCTGCTCCTTCTGAAGAGGATATATGTAGAGTTCTCAGCAGCGCTGCGAAGAAGGAAGGTTGGACCGATGCCCCGGGGCTGAACAAGCGGATTGCCGTTGAGAGTGGGCGGAATCTCCGCCGGGCACTACTGATGTTTGAGGCCATCTACGCCCAGAGGTGAGAATGGCCCTATGTGATCTTTTCCCTGGGACGGCAGCTGACAGACCTGTCTCTAGTGAAAAAGTAACAGATAGCACTCCAATTCCTCCCCCAGACTGGGAGGCCCTTATTTCTTTAGTTGCAGAAGAGATTCTGGCAGAGAGGTCGCCAGCTCGATTACTACAGGTTCGTGCACGGCTGTACGACCTCTTGACTCACTGCATACCTCCTACCACCATCATCAAAGTTCGTTTGCCCCCCGGAAGCTCAGGAGTAGAGATAAGACTAAATATCCCTAGACCTTGACATTCAAACTCATTGCAAAGGTGGACGACACACTAAAGCCCGAGGTAATCAAATGGTCTGCCTTTTACGAGCATAGGATCACACAGGGAAGCGTAAGAGACGTCGATTGATTTAGATATGGAAGGTTAAACTGACACATCGCACAGAAAGTGATCTTCCACCTTGAAGCTTTTGTTGCTAAGTTTATGCGCATTTATGAAAGGTTTGTAGCGCTTCCCCTTCATTTAGGGTTTAACTAACAATATCAGTTACTTGATGGGCATGGACTTTTAGGTCACCAATGTATTAATAGTCAATGATTAATGATTGCATCTTGGACCTTTTTCTCTCTAGGCTTTGTGCTGTATTAATTAGCACGTCTATAAGAGTTTGTATCTATAACTGTAACATGCCATCCTAAATACGCAAGTATTTACTATACCAGGCTATATCTTTAAACATGCTGCACTTAATAGTCTCAACAGATTTGCTATTATGAATCTAGATAGAGGTGGAATATCTCTGGTGACTAACTATATATAATATCAGGAAATACATGTGCAAACACATCACTTTTGATATAGCCCAAACCCTAGTCCATGTAGGAGACAATTGGATGAGAATAATAGCCGTAAATTTACCAGAGAATAATCATGATAGTAAAGACAAGATTGTTCTTATGATTATCCCTCTACAGATTCATTTCTTCTCCACTATATCATGCTTATATACACACAGCTGTAATAGTATTACCATCCCAGATTTCGTCTACGATTTGGTTAGGTACCTCGGGAACGAATCCGATATAAATCCCCTCTGCATGGCGCATTGGACGCATGTGTTTGGATTTGATCTTGGGGGGTTTTTCAACTTCAGCTCTCTTATAGAGGAACCCGTAATCTCGAGTCTCGTCTATGAACCTCCTAGTACCGCCAAGGAAGTGCATAAGCCCGTTTGATACGCTGTAGGTCGACGCAGGGCCTTGCATATGAGTGTAGGTGGTCTCCTGACTGTCCTGGAATCCAGAATAACAGGAAGGAGGGTGTGTGGATTACAAAAGTCGATCCCAGGCGGAGTTGGGAGCTACCCAGTGGATATTTTGGCAATCCTTGCCCGGGTGATGGGTGTGGCTTTCTGGCTTTGGCTGCTGTGATATAGGTAACCTTGGAACTGTCATGGGGCTTTCAAGGGCGATACTAACTGCAGCTGCGGAATTCTTCACAGGCGGGAGTTTGCAGAAGATGCTGAATGGATTGAAACTGCTAGCGATGATGCGAAGTGCTTGTTCATCTTTGGTGATAGCACAGAGAAGCTGTGTGTTCTGAATAATGTCGTTCGAGTGTCGATATGACGCCGAGTTTGTTGTAATTGGATGTGCGTAATAATGCATAGCTACCTACCTAGGTCTGCAACGAAGTGTGTAACTCCCTATCTCTTTGGTTCTTTGGGGATCTATTAGGGTCTTCTCTAATTTCCTTGAGAGTGGGAAAAAATAGAAGCAGCAGTTGAAGAACCGCAGTTCGCATTTGATCATACGTCATAGATTTGTAGGTTGGTGTTGAAAGCCAACGTTTGCCTCGCCATTTCCTCTCATCTCATGTGCAGCTGTATGATAAACGAGGCAATGCTTAAAACAGAAGTAAGTACGCCGACGAGAAATTTCTTCTCAATTCATATTGACTAGTTAACCAAGGCTACAAGTCGCATATCCTGTTCTCAATGTCTGACTCAAGGCTAATGGATATCGAACCCGGTGGCGAACAGACCCAGTGCGTCCCTCCTTTGAAATCTGGCCGTGGATTTTCTAGTTAGAATTTACCATTTTGTTTAGATATGAGTCCGTTCGAATATTTACCGAAACGCCAGCCAAGCAACATGGGCAGTTGGATGGTTTGTCCTCTCCTCCGGTGACTACCAGTTGACACGGCTCAGGCTACCTCTAATCTGCGCCTAGGTGATCTTCCGCACACAATCAGCGAAATGAGAACTACATGGCAGACTGATTATAGCGAGAAGAAGACGAGAGAGTTGAGGGAGGTGGCGGAAGAGGAAAGGGAGGTACGGAAACTTGAGCTCGGGGTGTCCACGTCTGGTATCTCTGGCTATACAAACAGAGAATCGGTGAATATCCTTTCTTTCTATCAAACTCCTTTATGGGATACAATGGAAATAAATAGAGCCTGAGGCTGATGATAATATACATGATACCTGAAGGTCGATCCCCAAGACGATGCTGCTAAAACAAGGAGAGAACAAGGGTATGGGCCTGGTTCGGGAGTCGGGGCTTAGACGCCGAAAAAACCCCGGGGGAGTGAGAAGGGGGAGCATGGTGGAAGGTGAGTGAGAGATTCCTTGGCTTATTGAGAAGCAGAGGGGCTAGAGGAGGTGGAACTGGGAGACGTGGGTAAATTGTTTGTCCCAAGAGGAGGATCTCTGCGTGCCCGCTTCAAGCTTTCCAAAGTCACACCATTTCCGAGTTTTGTTATGCCAACAACGGGAGGATCGCCGTTTTTGACGAACTCCCAGAGTCCTATATTGAATTGAATGATTAGTATTTTCTGCTTCGCTTTACAATATTTGGTAGAAAGGAACATACCAGGCAACTTATGGCCAGCCAACCGGAAGGCTTCTCGGGCAATCTTTTCGTGAATATCTCCCTTGAGCTCAAAGACAATCCTGCTCACGGGGACCCTGGCAGTCCAGTAGTCGAACTTTCCCTTACCCTTACCCATACGTTGCTCGTTGCCCTTGGTGTAGACACCGATATTGGCGCTTACGCGCTTGTATAGTGTATAGTTCATTCCTCTTAGACGCCTCTTAATGGTCTCCTCCGCGATTTTCAGCGATGCAGCGGGTAGTCGGCGGTCATGGTCTTTCATGCGCAGCCCGTAATCTCCCCAGACGACTGTTGTACCACGAGACGAGCCTCCAGTAGCGACATGTGGGCGACCCTTAGGCGACTTCGACTTCTCCATAAATTTCGGTGTGAGCCAGTCAAACGCTGGTGAAGTTGTAGAGAAGCATCGTGACAATGGGAAGATTGTGAAGGATGTCCGGAAGCCTATCAACCCCAATGTATCAGTTTAGAAGAAGAAAAACTTTTCTCTATTTGTGAATCCTCACATATTGGCTGCGAGCACACCAGCTGAGGCCGCGCTAGAAATTTCAGTTGTGGACCCATTGTAAATATCGACCTCGACAGAACCTTCCTCTGCGTAATTGAAGCCGATGTTGAGAATCCGCCAACTTTCTGGCTATCGGCGTATCTCCGGCGAAGGTTTCTCCGACCCGGCTCCCAAAATGGAAGCGTGTGGGTGCACGTGCCACTGGTGTCTTACATAATCTAATTAGAGCGCGTCTCGAACCGAAGCCCAGGCAGGCGCGTCGTGTTGCCTTGCGGAGAAGCCGTCAGCTGGGGATTTAAGCTGGGTTCTTCATCAATTCCAACCTGTTGGTAGTTTTGTCTGCTGGGGTATGAATTTGGTGATATAATTAATCATGCCTGCGGATATTCGGAGCTTCTTTGGTGGCAAGTCCAGTCAGGGCCCCAACTCATCTCCCGCAAAGCCTCCCGCAAAGCTTCCCGCAAAAAAAGAGGTATGTCCACCGTTCAATTCTTGAGATCATAAACAAGGTCTATTGGTATCAAGCATATGTGACGAAATTTAGACTAACCTTGGAATGGTCCTAGGTCCCCTCTAGAACAAAGCGTAGGGCTTGCCTCTCCATATTTTATGTGGCATTCCTTTGACAGTCGTACAGGAACGAGAAAGGTGGTTGATGATAGTGATGATGATGATGATGTTATAGTGACTGAGGCTCCTGCCCCAAAGATCAAGCCCCCCAGCAAAGCGTGCGATATCCCTTTTTAAGATGTACAATCTACGTTTGCTGACTTGAGCGTGAAGCAAAGCTGAGGTACCACAAGGGGAAGTAACCACGACTTCGGACTATTTTGCATCCAGCAAAAAGAAAGGAAGGCCATCAAAAGCGAACGCAAATGCGGACAAAGCAACTGAACCGTCCAAGGCTAGTCCAGCCGTTAATAAGGTGGAGATAACGGTGGAGGCGAAGAAGCCTACAGGCGCAACGGAAGCATCGAAAAGGGTTTCCCGACAGAACACGAAAAAGGCCAAGGCGCTTTTAGATGACGAAAAACTTGGCGACGACGATATATTTGCAACTGAGTACAAAAAGTCAGGCAAGGGCGACGACGATTATAGGGAGGAGGATGGCGGCGAAAGTGATGATGACTTTGATGAGCTCACAGTAAAACCAGCTTTGGCGGCTTCCGGAAAGGGACACAAAAAGCGCTCAGCCCTTTCTGAATCCGATGACGACGTTGTCATGGCAGATCTTCCCAAGCCCGCTACAAAAGCAGCGAAATCGGCCAGCCTCCAGAAGCAGAGGAAACGCAAATCCGAGGTACTAGATAGGGACGATGATGAAGAGTTTCAGAACAGTTCCAAAAAGGATGCAGCCAAGACGAAGCCGAAGAAACCCAAAGCGTCACCAATCAACCAAGCACCGGCTGAGAAAAAGGAAATCCAAGATATCTATGACAGCATCCCGACAGTCAGGCCTCCATCGCCTCCACCCCCTTCGGGTGATGGGAAGAAATTCAATCCTTTCGCTGCGAAGATGCGATCACGATCTCCTGTTTCCGGAACAGTTGAATTACCTGTGGGAGCAGAGAATTGTCTTGCGGGACTCTCGTTTGTTTTCACGGGGGTTCTTGATACTCTAGGTCGCGAGGAAGGCCAGTCTTTGATCAAAAAATATGGCGGCAAGGTTACTACTGCTCCTAGCTCGAAGACAAGCTATGTGGTTCTAGGTGGCGATGCTGGACCCAAGAAGCTGGAAACAATCAAAAAGCACAAGCTGAAGACGATTAATGAAGATGGGCTTTTTGAACTCATCCGCCGTCTCCCTGCCAATGGAGGTGATGGAGTAGCAGCAGAAAAGTACGAGGCAAAGAAGAAGGCCGAGGAAGAAAAGGTTCGAGCCATGGCTGCTGAGATGGAGAAGGAGGAGAAGCGCAAAGTATCTGCTGCTGTAGATAAGGTGGCTACGGTTGATGACCGCCTCTGGACTACGAAATATGCTCCGACATCTCTAAATATGATATGCGGCAACAAAGGTGCCGTGGAAAAGCTTCAGAGCTGGCTTCGAGACTGGCGGAAGAATGCTAAAACGAACTTCCAAAGGCCTGGAAAGGATGGATCCGGGACTTATCGATCTGTTATGATCCATGGCCCACCTGGGATTGGCAAGACAAGTGCGGCGCATCTTGTGGCAAAGCTTGAAGGATACGATGTGGTGGAAACGAATGCAAGTGATACAAGAAGCAAAAAGCTGGTTGAGAACGGCCTTCTTGGTGTCCTAGATACAACGTCTCTGCAAGGCTATTTCTCAGCTGCTGATAAAAAAGTCGAAAGTGAGAAAAAGAACCTCGTCCTAATCATGGATGAGGTGGACGGAATGTCTGCTGGTGACCGAGGTGGTGTTGGAGCTCTAGCCGCCATTGCAAAGAAAACCCAGATTCCGCTCATCCTCATATGTAATGAGCGAAGACTTCCGAAAATGAAGCCTTTTGATCACGTCACATTTGAAATCCCCTTCAGACGACCGACGTCTGAACAGATCCGAGCCAGGCTATCGACGATCTGTTTCCGAGAGGGATTGAAAATCCCACCTCAAGTTCTGGATAGTCTTATTGAAGGAACCAATGCTGATATTCGACAAGTGATAAACATGCTTTCAACTGTGAAACTGGACCAGAAGAACCTAGATTACGACAAAGGAAAAGAAATGTCGAAGGCCTGGGAGAAACACGTGATCCTGAAGCCTTGGGATATTGTCGGCAAGATTCTCAATGCGCAAATGTTTTCGCCCAGCTCTAAGGCTACGCTGAATGATAAGACCGAGCTCTATTTTAACGACCATGAATTCAGTTACCTGATGCTTCAGGAGAACTATCTGAGGACGAGGCCCACTCTCGCCAATGGCTATCAAGGCAGGGAGCAAAAGCTGAAGCTACTTGAGCTAGCAGACAATGCAGCCTCAAGTATTAGCGATGGTGATCTTGTCGACAGGATGATTCATGGAACCCAACAGCAATGGAGTCTGATGCCAACGCATGCTGTGTTCAGTTTTGTCCGGCCAGCTAGCTTCACTTACGGTAACATGATGGAAAGACCTGGATTCACCAGTTGGCTTGGGCAGAATAGTAAACAAGGTATGTGTTCCTTTTCTGCCATACTCCACATTGTCTTAACATTACTTCTGTAGGTAAACTTTGGCGCCTTCTGAAAGACATTCAGGGACACATGCGTCTTCGCGCGTCCGGAGACCGGAATGAAATCCGACAACAATACATCCCGCTTTTATGGGATAGGCTCGTGCAGCGACTCATGGACGAAGGCAAAGACGGCGTGGAGGATGTGATCGAGTTTATGGACAGCTACTTCCTTACACGGGAAGACTGGGATGCATTGGTGGAGCTTGGACTGGGACCAATGGATGAGTCCAAGGTCAAGCTCGAGACGCAAACTAAAGCCACCTTTACACGTCTCTATAACCAGCGCTCACACCCGCTCCCTTACATGAAGTCTAGCAATGTTCTCGCCCCGAAAAAGGCACCGAAGGAGAAACCTGACCTTGAGGATGCTATTGATGAATCAGATGACGCCGAGGTGCTCGAAGATGATTCCAAGGAGGACGAGGATAATGACGAAATCGATCTCAAGAAGGACAAGTATATTCGCGTGCCTAAGAAATCGGTAGCGAAGAAGAATACCTCCGCCAAAGGAAAAGGAAAGAAATCGAAGAAGGACGATTTCATAGACGATGACGAGGAAAACGAGCCAAAACCAAAGAAAGGAAGAGGTAGCAAAACCAAGGCCAAGTCTGGATAATAACTGGACGTTCTTGGACGTATTGTATTCTTCACTGATTGGGATTGTGATTTGGGGCTAAGCGGGAGTAATCCTTTTTTTTTTTTTTTGTATGTACTATAGATTGCATAGCTGAAGAAGATATAAGATATCACAACTAGTGATTATCTGCGTATTATTCCTAGGAATTGTAGTTGTATATAACTGGAAGTACTTGTATTATTCCGAGGTCGAATCTAGATCGGTTGGATGCACCTCCGAGTCTTGGCTAGCGACGCGGCTGATGGGATCGAGTTGACTTGACTTGCCACAGCTTCATTTCTCCCTCCTTCGGTCTCTCGGGTCAACAACCAGGTGATAGTCACATATCATCTCTGGAGTATCCCCAGGAACCCTATTTTCCTTTCCTATCCTATCCTCTTTCCTTTTTCTTCTCTGGGCTTCAATCAGGCTGGCCCTGATTAAGCCTTTCTTCCCTTCGTTTCTCGAGCTCAGCGCATCGGCCGCTCATTCGAATGTGGTAGTTCTGTTACTCGACACTAGCTATACCCCGTATCCATTCAGTATCGCGATAGGATACTTTCATGTTTATCGTTTAGTTTATCCTTCGCCTTCCAGCGTATGGAAAATGTCTCTCCTTCATAACGAAGAGTACGTCGAGATATGCGATCGTCTCCTTTGAGCCCCTCCCCCGTTCCCCCTCCATGGTTAAGTGCTTCGTCAAACATAGACTGAACCAGAGCAGTTTTACAATATGGCAGCTTCGCACGTCGTATCTCTCTACAATTAAGGACGGGATAGGCGACCGGCTTATCAACGTCAACCATTCTGTCCTCAACACCCCTGGGTTTCGCGCAGCAGGTTGGCCCTCAGCTTCCGCAAATCATGGCACACAACTCGGGGCCAGTATTAAGCGAACATATTCTCCTCCAATTCCCACAACGACTGCCGTGTCATCCGAGTATTACCAACTGGGCACTAGGGACACAAATGATGCCCAGAGATTTGGGTTTGGTGAGGATGCCGAAGATGAGGAGGGGGGTATGGTGACTGGCAAAACTGGTACGGATGTGATCGGACGCATTGGACGAAGTGGGAAACGGACCCATCGAGGAGAACGTCAGCAGCGAGAGCATCAGAAGGCAAGAGACGAGGAGGAGGACAGCAGTGACTTGAGTGATGAAAGCGATGACGATGGCGATTCTACACAAAGGTGAGTTTGATACTGGGCTTTGCTATACGCAATCTAGGGCTCACAGTTTGCAGGCCTAGCCATCAGATTAAGTTTACAAAAATGCCGGTACGAATCAGGGCAGATTCATCGCCTATAAGGGCGACTGATCGTCAGGACCGGCCGCAAGTTATGGTCACGTCGCCTTCATATCCGTCATTGATGGCCCATTATCGAACGGGTTCGCTAGGAACAGCTCCCAGTATCAACGAGCGTCGGAGACGCGATACAACGACCACAACTAGCAGTGACATGTCTTCAGACAATGAACTTGCCTCATCGGGCTTCAAAAGGCGGCAGATCCAGTTTTCTGGTTGTGATCAAGTGATAGAACCTCCCATAGCAGGCCATGTGAAATCTGGGAATACTGGACTAAAGGGGCTAGACGAACAAGCTGAAGATTCAGGGGCTGAATCGGTGGAGTCGGCACTTTCCTCAGAATTTGATGCCACGGCCGGGTCTGCCTCACTATTGGAAGGAGTTGGTATTACCGGCAGTCTGAATTCGTCATCGCCCATTGCTTTGATGCACAAGTTACAGAATACAGCGAGTTCACAGGCTGTTTCCCCGAGGAAACCAAAAACACCAGCACCCGAGCTACAGGATTTACCCCCTCCACGCCCAATTAGCACGCTAGAGCCTGTTAGTCTGCTATCTAAAGCTCTCAATGCCCGCAAACAAGCGCCGACAAACCCCGTGGAGAAGTTTGCCGTGCTCTCAGGCAAGGGCTTAACCGATTCATTGAATATCCGGTTATACATTCCATTCTCGTCCGACCCCGAAGAGCCGCTTGATCTACCGCTAGCCCGGGAATCGAAACTGGCTGATCAACCGGCTCCTGTGACTGTTGTTGAAGCTATTGGACTTGCTCTCTGGAGATACTCTGAAGAGCGCCGTGAGCCATCAATCGAGCGTAGCAAACTCACTGTGAATAGATGGGCGCTTCGAATGGTGGAAGATGGGGAGGTCGAATATGATTTCCCCGCGTTGGCTCGGATGTCTGCCATCGCCGACTTTACCTCAAATAACAACCGCGCCGCGGGGGCACGGGGTCGATCCAGGGGCAAGCAGTACGACGAGTTTGCCTTGGTGGAGGCTTCTGACTCCGAGTTTGAGGAGAATGAACGCCTATATCCGATATACAACGTGTCTGCCCCCGCTGAAGAGACCGGTGATGCGCCTGCAGTACCCAGTGTTACCGCAGGCCCACCCGCCGCGCTCGCGCAGAGCAAAACGTCTCGTCTAAACCCGATCCTTGGACAACCATTCTCATCGGCACTGAATGACAATACCCTTACACCTGCAGATCGACCAGCGGTGCCTACTTCTCATGCCACGCCTCGCCTCGGAATCTCTAAGACGTTGAAAATCCGCTTCATCAACCTGGAGGGATCGACGCAGGTTACCACGCTGAACACCTCGACGGACAGCTACATAGCCGAAATTTTGGACTCCGTTTGCAAACGATGGGGGTTGGATAAGGGGAACTACCTGCTCAAAGTGATGGGATCTAACACCATCGCTCCGCTGGATCGTACCGTGGAGGCATTGGGAAACATCACAGAACTGGATCTCGTGCGACGGCGCTTTGGTCCGCAACTGACGGGATCGCCAGGCAGCTCGTCACCCAACGCACCGCTCCTGGTTGAGAATCCTGCTGTGCCGAGCAAGAAGGGCAAGAAGAGTGGACAACGCATGCTGCACCCGCTTAACCAGAAGCAAGATCTCATTGGAGGGTATTATCGACGTTACTACGTCCTTCGCAAGCAATCGATGGGATTCACGACGTCGAACCACCGGATCCTTACCTTTGATAACGACTACATGCACATCATGCCTGGGGACACGGGCAAAACGGGGTCGGACACCAAGACGCGGTCGATCAGCTTTAACGACGTTGTAGGATGCAAAGTGAGCCGACGCCATCCGAAGAACTTCCGAGTTGTTGTGCTGCGCGGGAACGATGCGACAGAGCAGAAACGATATGACTTTGAAGCCCGGAATGCGCTTGAAGCGGGGGAGATTGTGGATGAGATCAAGAAGAACATGGCGCATTACCGGATTTGAATGGTCTCTATTTAATTGCTCTCCCTTTTTTTTTTTTTTTTTTATCTGCATCTTTCAAGCAATTTGGTTGGTCTAAGTTCAGGTGGCGTTGAGGAAGGTCGAGATAAATCCCCCGTCACGGTTGAATATGACATGGCATATCTCTCTCTCTAGCACGATCCGGATGCATAGATCTGGGTTGGATGGAGAAAACCCTCCGAAGTGAAGCCACGGTGCATCTGTAAAAGCGTAAACGATCATCAGTAGGGAGAAAGCCAAGGTCAGTGGTGATCTCATCCATCTGAATTTAAACCCCAGCCGTTGAACTCGGGCCATGGATCGGGATTGTTGCAGTCTAAAGAAGAAAGAAAAGTACAGGCTTCACCAACCCCGCTCGCTTCCTCTCCGTGACTCTCTTCCCCTCGGGTTTCGATCGTCATCACATCTCTTTCTTTCTCCTTTTTCTCCACCCCTTCCAGTGCCCAATTGAACTCTGTGCTTCCGTTAGTCGCCGCCGGGGATCCATCATCCAGTCTCTCTCTCTCTCTCTCTCTCTCTCTCTTTTCATTTCTCCTCCTACACTACTGGGGGCAGTCCGTGGCATCCGCGCCGGAACCATCGAATTGATACATACTCCCAGTACAAGAGGATCACTCGCTACTTGCCCCCCCTCCCGCTTTTAAGGTAGCTCAGATCGAGGCGCTGCTGCGGCTTTTCCATTCTTTGCCCTTTCTTCTGCTCATAGTCTTTGTGTCTCTCTGCTTTTTCTTTTTCTTTTTGATTCCTCGTTGCTCCCCCAAGGTTTCTTCCTTTTCTATCTATCCTCCATGCCTACTTTAGGAGGTTTTTTGAAGAAACGGCGAACGAAAGATTCGCAAACTCTTTCCAAGGAGCTCCAGGCTGGCTCGCCCTCCCCCACTGCTGGTCACACACCGACGTCACCAATCGCCGCCGAAGAGAACCACCACCACCACCACCACCACCACCATTCCCAACAGCCGGCCAGCACCCTTGCAACTTCTTCCACAGCTGCTACGCAGTCCCAGCAACCCGTCCACCGTACTTCCAATCAGTCTTCCAGCTCCCATAAACCGGCTGACGGCCAAATCGCCTCCATGCAGTCCCCCGCATCGCAACCCACCTCGGCCACCTTCTCCAATTCCGGCAGCCAGCCCCAGGCCAATGTAGCCAGCATACAAAATATCATTCACTCCTCGCACCACAATGAGGCCGCTCATGGTGCGTCCCATCAACATACCGCTTCCCGCACGGAGCGGACCACCAAGGGCAAGTACTCGCTCGATGATTTCCTCGTCCAGCGTACCCTCGGCACAGGCAGCTTCGGACGAGTGCATCTGGTGCAGTCCAAGCACAACCACCGGTTTTATGCAATCAAGGTGCTGAAGAAGGCCCAGGTGGTCAAGATGAAACAGATTGAGCACACCAATGATGAGCGACGGATGCTGAATCGCGTCAGACATCCGTTTTTGATCACTCTGTGGGGCACCTGGCAGGATTCGCGAAACCTGTATATGGTTATGGATTTTGTGGAAGGAGGAGAGCTGTTCAGTTTACTTCGCAAGTCTCAGGTGAGCTAGTTCTTCCTCCGCTGACGGTCGCACCGGGCAGGAACCCCTACCTAACCTGTGAGATTCTACTTCAGCGATTTCCCAACCCCGTCGCCAAATTCTACGCGGCCGAAGTGACTCTGGCGCTGGAGTATCTGCACTCCCTGAATATTATTTATCGAGACTTGAAGCCCGAAAATCTCTTGCTAGACCGCCACGGTCACCTCAAAATCACCGATTTCGGGTTTGCAAAGGAAGTACCGGATATCACATGGACACTTTGCGGAACTCCTGATTATCTTGCTCCTGAGGTTGTGGCCTCCAAGGGGTATAATAAATCAGTCGATTGGTACGTTCAAAGCTGCAATGTCGTCGTAATGTACTGACCGTTCCAAGGTGGTCCCTTGGGATCTTAATTTTCGAAATGCTATGTGGCTTCACACCCTTTTGGGACCAGGGCTCTCCGGTGAAGATTTATCAGAATATTCTTCAGGGAAGGATTAAATTCCCGCCATACCTCAATCATGACGCTGTTGATCTGCTTTCGCGATTGATTACTTCAGACCTCACCAAGCGCCTGGGTAACCTTCACGGTGGCTCTGAGGACATCAAGAACCATCCGTGGTTTTCCGAGGTCACCTGGGACCGCCTAGCCAGGAAGGAGATTGATGCACCATACGTTCCCCCAATTCGAGGAGGGCAAGGAGATGCCAGCCAGTACGAGAACTACCAAGAAGAGACAGAGCCATACGGACACAATGGCGAAGATCCGTACGCATTCGTTCCCCACTTTCCCCTGCGTTCAGTTGCTAATGGACAATCCAGTCACGGCCATTTGTTCCCAGACTTCTAGAGCGTCTTACGAGTGATGATGAAATGATAATTTCACCATAGAGATTGGCTGCTTGACTAGAACCCTAGTAACTTGTGTGGCTGCAAAATGAAGAAATATGTGGAATGTTTGCTCTTTTTTTTTTTTTTTTTAATGGTTCTTATCTACCATAAATGTGGTAAGTATGGCCAGGACCTTAAGTTATGCCGTCCCCGGCTCCTTCTCGGGTTGTTTTGATGATCGCTGGTCGAATTCAATTGATTGAACGCGAACGCTTTCGAGATAGCTGATATGCTAGGTGCTCGTCTAGCAAATGTATTCTCGTCAAAAAGCATGCTACTGTTCTCTCTTTCTTTTGCTTGCATGGAGGCTTAGTAGTCTCACTGGATGGAGGGTTACGGAGTGAAATGATTTCTTGTCGTCTTCCTTTTCTTGCGAGGTGAGAATTGGTATGTTTATATGGTGTTTGCTCTGGAAGCTTTTGGAGGCTCTTACGCCGACTCTTCTTCCATTCTTGAGTTGTTGTTGTTGTTGTTGTTGTTGTGGTTTGGCTTCTGATTGCCCATTTCTTTCGTCTTTTCCTACCAAGATATCTTTGCAAATAGCGAGGAGCTATTTTGGATTTTGGATTTTCTCCCCCTCTCCTCTTGTCTGTAGGGGAGACCTGTATAATGTACATACATACTTTCCAGTCTCTTAATCGCAATGAAAAGTAAGCCCTGGATCTGGATAACAACCTTCAGATACCCAATTATAATATTCCCAGCAATCCCTGCGTCCCCCTGCATCTAGACCGAATCGGATAGATAGAAATCTACAACCCGTTGCTTTTGTCTGTAATCGTACACGCATTCATCACTCACTCCTCCAAACTCACCGCTTAGAGGCTAGAGTCTCCTCCACCACCAGTAGCCAACGAGTTCATAGCAATGGTATCCTGTCCGCCGAGTTTCTTGCTCTCAGTCGCCACACGAGCGATATAAGTCCGGCTGGTAGCGTTCCACAGCGAAATGTATTTCTCCATGCAGTGAGACAGACAGCTTTCCTCTTTCGAGGTCATGGTCGACCCCGGAGCGGGGATGCAGTGATCGAAGCAGTGCTCGTTGACTTTCTGTGCGAGTTGTTAGCGACATTTCCACCTGCGACGATTGAATTCCCAAAAGGGGAGGGAGGGCGAACGCTAATTAGGTTTCGGGCGTTGGCCATGGCAGCTTCTTGTTGGAGCTGCTTCATGATTGCCGCCTTGACTTCTTGCTGGGTGGGCGAGTCGGAGGAAGACCCGGAAGCAGAGGACGAACCGAAGAGAGCCATGGTGGTGATGGATGGGTATTGTTCAGGTGGTGTGGGTAGGAAGAATCATAAAATCAAATACAAGCGTTGGAGTCGAGTCGAGTCGCGAACAGGATCTTCGATTACCGCCGAGCAGCCGGGAGGAGTGTGGCTGTGGCTGGGGATATACCTGTGGCTGTGGCTGGGGATGTGGCTGTGGCTGATGTGGACACCTAACTTCTAAGGTTCCCAACATTGTTGGTCTGATCTGTCCAGTTCACTTCTTTTGTCTCTCTCTCTCTCTCTTTGCTCTCATTCTTCGACCTGCCTTACGAGACTCTTAGTCTTGCTCCGTTTTTGCTTTCTTCTATCTTCTCTTTTCACACTCAGACATTCCTTCGTTCTCTGGGTTTTTATTTTTTTTATATTTTTTTCACCCCTCCTCCCTCTCCCAGTGACCTGATCTGATATATCTATCTATACTGGTCGTCCCATTGTTTTACACCGGCTGGCTGCTACTGCGCTGTGAATGTCCCGGTGACATTGAACATATTTCTTATTGAAAAGAAGGGCTTCGTACGCTGTCTATTTTATCTGTCCTTTTTCGTCAACTTTACCTACTTCCACAATCGTTTCTGCGTCGTCATATGCAACAATGCTGCTACCGCGGCTTTCAACCCTCCTCTATCTTGCTGGCCTAGCGGCTGTGCCTGCAGTCAACGCCTACGAGGGCGATGAGAATGTTAAGAGCCTCCCCGTATGTATGCACCTGTCTATGTGCTGTGCTATGTTACTAAGGAATCTTGGAATAGCTTCGAACTCACAGTCTTTCTTCGGTTGGTCTACTACCTCCCCACGCTCCCACAACATTTGTGCAACTCGGTCTGTTAACACCCACTAGCCGTACTTGGATTCGGACTTCCAAAGCCGCTGGTTCGATTTTGGGGGTGATACGATAATTCGCGCCGATCAGTACGTTCACCTGCTCTGTTGTTGGAAAGCGAAGACCTATGGCTGAGTGGTACTAGATACATTCGTCTCACGTCCGATCGACCGTCGCAACAAGGATGGATTTTCTCTCGAGTTCCTCTTACCACGACAAATTGGGAGGTCAGTGCTGTCGTTCCCCTGCGTTGTGCCGTCTTGAGGTGAGAGGCTGACTGTGGGCTGTCTAGATCGAGGTCGAATTCCAAATTCAAGGAAATGGTAACCTCCACGGTGACGGCTTTGCCATGTGGCTCACAAAGCAGCGCGCGACACAGGGTCCGGTCTTCGGATCGACGGATAACTTCGAGGGACTGGGTATTTTCTTCGATACCTACAAGAACAACCGCCCCGGTACTTCGTTCCCTTACGTCATGGCCATGATGGGCGATGGACAAACCAGCTATGACCAGGCTCATGATGGCAAGGCCAATGAGTTGGCAGGCTGCTCGGTACCTTTTTTTTTTTTACCCCCCTCTCTACTTTTGAGAACCGGCTAACTAGTATAGGCCCGTGGTCTACGAACGGCTTCTGTCCCTACTAAGGCGCGCTTGACCTACTTCCAGGACAAGTCCTTGACACTCGACCTGCAGTACAAGTCAGAGGGAACCTGGACCAACTGCTTCACTGTCACAGCCCCCGAAACAAATATCGCGATCCCATCCGTCGCGTATCTAGGGTTTTCTGCCGAGACCGGTGAGCTGAGCGACAACCACGACATCATCTCCGTCAAGGCCCAGAACCTGTACAACACCGGCCGCTCCGGTTCTGACTCCAAGGGCCCTGCCCGTCCCGTTGAACGACCCCGCTCGAAGTTCAGCAAACAGAAGAAGGAGGGAAGCTGGGGATGGTTCCTGTTCAAGGTTTTCTTCTTTTTGGCCGCTGTTGCCGGTGCTTACGTTGGCTGGACTGTATACCGCTCCAAAACCCGTTACTCACGATTCTAAGCTAAAGTCTCAATGGATTTTGAAGGTGCTCTACAAGAAATTAACAGAACCCTATAGGGAAAGAAGAAGAAAGAAGAAGAAAAAAAAAAAAAAAAAAAAAAAAAAAAAAAACGCACAGTACCCAAAAGGCTGTTTGTTCATTTTCCTATATCTTATATCCTATTGTTGCTCTTGCATAGCCTGATGTACGTGTGTATCTTCGGTTTCCTTCGTTATTATGAAACGAGCCAAAAGTTTCACAAATCCTTCCTATGCTCTATGTTTCCTTACTGGCCAATATGAAGTGAAGTGAGCTTGAGGTGAATATGAATCATCCTATTGACACTGACTGTAATTGTTAACAAATGGGTATCTCATGCACCTAACTCAGTCCAAAAGTAAACGTGACGGTAAACGTAAAAATACAAGAGTATCGTCGATCATAAACCGGCACCAGTTAAAGCCCGGCCTATTTCTTCCGTTCGTTCCACAGCCGATCAATGATCTGGAAAACCTCAGTGACGCTGCGCATCACCGAGGCATCGACCCCGAGCGTTCCATATCGATGCTGTATCTTATCCGGATGCCATCGAACACGCTCCATCTTCAGCGTAGCGAGTAAATCAGCGTCAGCTTCACCAGCAGAAGAAGCAGGCGCACAACGCATAAACTCCTCCACATTCTCGCCCGAAACATCCCTTCTCCTCCCCGACTCGACAGGCCAAAAGAGCATACCCCCCAACCGACTCTTCCCACTACCACCACCGTGACTCTTTTCCGCCGCCGCCGCAGTAGCAGCAGCAGCAGCAGCAGAATCAACCCTCTCCCAAGACCCCAAGTACTCCCCCCACACCGCCCTCCACGCCTTGGCTCTTCGCCGCTCCCGCCCCCGAGCAAGCGACTCCTCCATCGCCCGCTCAAACCGGACGCGCTCCTCGTCCTCGCTCTGCCTCTTGCGCTTCTGCTGCGCGCGCTCTGTCCGAACCCGCTCCTGTTCCGCGAGCATCCCCTCCCTGGTCCGCTTCCACATCTGGCTGCGCACATAGCACGCGTATTCTTCTTCGGTCATTTGCTCGAGCCCTGCATCTCGTTCACTCCCTTCTCCACCCCGAGGAAAAGCAGAAGAAGAAGAAGAAGAAGCAGGAGGAGGAGGAGCATAAGTATGTATAGGCTGTCCGTAAACGGATTCCCAGAACGCTGCGCCTTCGTCGTCGCCTAGAGCGTCGAAGAGAGATTCCCGGAAGGCAGTGTCGGGGGAGAGCGGAGGGGGTCCAGGACTGGATGGCTGGTGGGCGCGCTTGCGGTGGGGTTGGTTGTTTGTGGTTGTGGTTGTGGGTTGTTCTGGGTTGTCTCTGTCTCTGTCTCTGTCTCTTTCTCTGTGTGTGTGTTTGTGTCTTTTTCTGGCGTCGTTCTGGCTGCGGCTGCGGCTGTGGGCATGGTTCTTGTCCGTGTCGGGAAAGTGTCTTGAGCGATGCCTGGAAGAAGATTTAAAGCGGAATTTCCCCTTTCCGGAGGCCTGGGCGTACTCGTGTCCATTTCCATTTCCATTTCCGGTTCCGGTTTGGGGTTGTGTGTTTGTGCTTGCATGGGTGTTGCCTTTGCCTTTGCTTGGGCTGGTAGTGGTGGTAGGTTGGGATGGTGGCGGAGAGCGCGACGGCGGGGGTCGTTTTTGCGGTATTGGGTCCATTGTGCAGGTGAGCGGTCATTGGATATGTATGGGGTATAGAGATTCAAGTGGTAGTTTTCTGAGAGTGTGGTGTGAAGTGATCATGACATGCCATGGTGAGGAAGATAATGAAGCAGTTAAAACTATTGCTGGGTGAAATCAGGAGGAAATGCAAGGCGAACTTGTATCCATGCCTTTCTGCCCACCTAAACCGCTACCCGCTTTAGGTGCGCCACACATTCTTCGCGATCACACATTCTTCGCGATTTTTAATATTTTAACTTATTTTTATTATTATTATAACACAACATGCCTAAATCTCTAGATTTTAATAAATCTTACTTGCTTGAAGCTATTACCATAGTTAAAAAGTAAAAAAAATCAAATATTACAAAAATTATATAAGAATTTAATATACCTGACTCTATGCTCTAAATATACCTTAAAAAACTAAAGATACTAGTAATACTAATAATAATAAATAAGAACCTTTTATAGCTATATTAGAAGAAAATCTTAATTAACTAGATTATATAAATATAAAAATAGAATATCCTACTAACTCCTGTAATTATTATAGCATAAGTAAATTAGATACTTACTTATATAAGGTTAGATAAGCAAGTTAGTAAGATATAATTATATTAATTTAAATTATATATACCAGCAAATCTAGAACTTGCTCTAGAAAAGTAAAAGATTAAGAAATTAAGATAAATATAAGTAGAGGATACTAGCTTACTTTAATACTAGTATAATCTTTTAAAATTACTTCTTTATAGGATCCTAGCTTACCTTATCTATAATTTTAATAAATATAGTTTCTAACTAGGTAAAGATTATAATAAAAAGGTTTTTAAGAATTCTAAATACTTTAATCTTATAGAAAATAAGTAAGGTAAAAATATTACTATAGTTAAATATATTACTATAAATAGTTAGGTAATAGATCTATTTTTTATTTTTAAAATAATAAGTAATTATATAAAGGTCTAGTATTATAATATAGAATAATTACTATCTAAAATAATAATAATAATATTCTTAAATAATTAGATAATTAATAAGCTTATACTTGCCTAACTATATTAATTTAATACTAAAATAAAGTATCCTAATTATACTAAGCAAGGCAAGAAATAATATTTAATATTTAATAATTATAGCTTATATCTTATACTTAAATTTCTATAATATTATAAGAAAAATAATATTATTCTCTTTAGTTTTATAGCTTATTTAATATATCTTTACTAATCTCTTAATAAAAAACCTTTTCTTACTTATAAGACTAATTTTTACCTTAAGAATAATAAGCTATCTTAATAGGGAGATAAGCTATATAGGAAGGTAAAGTTTTAAAAAATTATCTAGCTAATCTATAATTAGATTTTTTACCAGCAAATTATTTAAGATACCTTTAAAAAATATAGTATTTAGCTAGTTAATAGTACTAAAATTATTAAAAAACTAGCAAATTAGATAAATATACTAGATATATTAATTAATCTTTATTAAACCCTATCTCCACTACTATTATTATCCTCTAGTATTAAAAATAGTCCTCTAGTAATAATAGAGGCTCTTCTAAAGAATTAAGTAAAGATTATAAAGGAACTTAATAAGGTATCTGTCACGGCGTGCACTAGGTGCACTGGTGCCAAGGCAATGATTACTAGGTATATAAGGTAGGATTCGGGCAGATCAGACATCAGGTCTGATCATAGTGACCTTTTAGTCCAATGGTTTAGACATGTTGCCCGAATCACATGCTCTTACAAGTATGATCAGACCTGATGGGTAGATGGCTGTGGTTCGAATCCGGCTGGTATCATTGTGCGACAATGATAATTAAGTCCTAGGGTTGGGTAGTCCCGCTAGACCTAAATAGGTGCTAGGGCTGGGTTGAGTCCCACTAGGCCGAATAGGTGCTAGGGCTCGGTTAAAAATCCTGTTAGACCTAGATAGGTGCTAGAGGTTCCCTGCTAGACCTGGTTGTGCTACCAGATTTGAACCACGCCTACCTGCTCACAGTCCTTAGCTTAGCTTAATCTAGCTGGCTTAGGGCTGGGGGTCCCTACTGAATATATGCTAGTCGGCTTGCGGTCAAGCCTTATCTTAAGGAAGGAGATAGTTGTCACGGCGTGCACTAGGTGCACTGGTGCCAAGGCAATGATTACTAGGTATATAAGGTAGGATTCGGGCAGATCAGACATCAGGTCTGATCATAGTGACCTTTTGGTCCAATGGTTTAGACATGTTGCCCGAATCACATGCTCTTACAGTATCTAATCAAGTAAGGTAGAATATATTAAAACTCTTTTAATATCAGGTAAAGAAGCTTAAGGAGCTAAAAATAACCTAGGAAGTAATTTAAAAGATTAGTGTCAGGGGGCAGAGTCGGATTCAGATATTCATTGACTAGGAGCTAACTAGACAGAATAGCAGAATAGTAGGTATTAGATAATAGACAGGACGTAGCTTGAAGAGCTATAATAAGATTAAGGATAATATAATTTAAATATAGGAATAAGGATAGATAGTTAAGGTAAAATCTAACTAGATAGGTATTATAGCTTTATATTATAATAGTACTCCCCTTCTTAAGGTCAAGTTTTATTAAGACTAGGAAGGAATTAGCTAGAGTTTCTTAGAATAATAGAAGTAATAATTATTTACTAATTAATAGATATTCTCTAGATATTTAATAAGTTCTTTAATTAGCTTATTATATTTAATTTACTTAATAATATATTATAGCTTAAGTTTACTATAGCTTTAATAAATTTATTAAGAATTAAAGATTTTCTTAATTTCTTATTTTTTTAATTTTTTTACTTTAATAAATAATAATAGATTAGGATATTAATTAAATAAAGGATTATTAATAGTAAGATAGAGTAAAAATATATTAAATATAAAATAGATTCTTATATTTTTAAGTAATTTAAATTTATAAGTATATAAATTAATAATTCTCTTAATATAATATAATTTAAAATTTTTCTAGTCTAATTTCTTCTATAAGTAGAGTATTTAAATATTATAAATATTTAACTAGATTTTTTATCTTATAATATAATAATATATAGATTATCTTTAATAATTAGTTTATACTTTATAATAGGCTTAAGTAAATAAAATCTTAATATAAATAAATTTATAAATTTTATATATAATATTAATAAACTTCTTAATATTTTTTTTAATAAAGTAAATAATAAGATAGCTTAATTTAAACCTTAATATTAAATAAAATCTATAGTTAACTATAAATAGTAATATTCTTATAAACTTAAAATAGATAAAATTAGTAATAAATTTAGTTATTAATAATTATTTAAATTAATTATTTTATAAATATAATATATATACTTATAAGTATTATTTTAAAATAATATTAATATATTTAGTTTAATTATTAATTTTAGGGTAATAAATAATAAATAGTAGGTTATAAATTTTTAAGCAGGATATTAGATATTTTTAGAAAATAATAATAAATTAGATTTTATAATTTAATATAATTATTTTAGGGATATTATAGAGCTTTTAAATATATTTAAGATATAGATTAGCTATTTTTTTAATATTAATTATTCTAGTATAGGAGAGGAAATACTTTATCTTTATTAAATAATTAATTATAATTAAGATAGTATTATAGTTATTATTTAGTAATAAATATATAATAAAGTTCATGCTTATATCTTGCTAAATATATTTAAGAATTAATAGAGGTCTTAGTATTCCTTACTTTATTTCTTAAAAAGGAATAATTTAATAGTAAAGGTAATAATTTTAGATTTATTAATTAATATACTTATAAATTCTAGACTAGAAATATTTATATAATATTAATTTATATATCTTAATTTTTTTAGGATATCTAGTAGTAAGATTTTTATAATAAAGTCTTAGTATTTTAATTTTTATTTTATTATAATTAAATATATAAAGTTAATCTTAATATCTTAAATATAGACTAGTATATCTATAGTTAGCTAGTATAATATTAGGGTATTTTAGTAGACTATCCTTTAAAATATTTAAAATAGACTAGAGCTTCTTATCTTATAGATAAGCTTTATTAAATAATAATTATAGTATTAGTAACAGGGAGATTAGTTTATTAGTAGTAGGTTATTTAGTAAAGTATACTTAATATTAGCTATTAATATTTAGTCTTAGATTAGTAGTAATTTTAAGTAGTAAATTTTTAGATTTTAGAATAATCTAGTTCTAGTAAAGAAATTATTTATTCTCTTTCTTAGGCAGGTCCTCTAATCTTCTAGTTAATATATTAGGTTTAATATCTAATTTTTTAGGGTAGTAATATATTTAGAAGTTAAATTTTAATAGAAATTTAGACTAGCAGGCTTATTAATAATTTAATAGCTTAGTTAATATAAAATACTCTAAATTTTAATAATTTATAATAATCTTTATAGGTAATAAAGTTCTTTCTAGTTTAAAGTATTATTTTTTAAAATAGTAAATAATAATTAATAGTTCTTTATTATAAATCTTATAATTATATTCTATTATAGAATATTTCTTAGAAAAAAATATAATAAGATATAATATATTTTTATTATTATATTATAATAGTACTCTAGTAAATATATAATTAGAAATATTAATTTCTAGAATTATATTTTTTAACTAGTTAAAAAGTTTTAATATTAGAGTATTTATAAAAGTAGTTTTTAATTATTTAAATATTTTTTAATAAGTAAGTATTTAATTAAAGTTAATATCTTTTTTAATTAGGTTAATTAATAGTCTAATAATTTTTAAAAAATTATAGATAAATTAGTAGTAAAAGTTCCTAAAGCTAATAAAGACTTAAATATTAGTTAAATAAATTAATATTTTTTATTTAGTAATTATTTTTATTTTATTAGGGTTTATTTAAAAGCTATTTCTATCTATAATTAGTCTTAGGAATTTTATCTTATATATAAAGAATTTATATTTACTAAATTTAGTATAAAGTCCTACTACTTATAGGTATTCTAATACTTATTAAATATAATAGGTATATTTAGTATAGATTTAGCTATAAATTAGAATATTATTTAAATATATAATATAAAAAATATCTAGATAATTATATAGGGCTTTATTAATAAATCTCTA